GTGATACTTTGGTGTGATACCACTTATTGCTTCTCCTTGTGTTTGGAAAATAGAAGTATCATCGCAAACCTAGTGGTCTTCTGATTTCCGCCTTCTTGCGTCAGGACTATTAAATTCTCGACCAGTACATAGCAATAATTTGGCGACGAGTACATAACATATATGATTATGAGCGGCAATAAATTGTGCTCCAAATGTCATCAGTAAATATTATTGCATAACATTTCAGTGTGTGTTTATAAATTCACCTGTTCTTGTGAAGCTAGTTATATTGACCGCACACATAGAGCACACATCTCTGAACATTATCCGGAATGATTACTTATAGGACAATGCAAGACAGTTACTAGCTCGATTCTCGAAAATTTGGTGAACCCAAGCTATGCAGCTCCACCAGAGTCATCTTCTAAGATTATCCACACCATGAGACCAATTGGTGTCAGCTTTCGGCATTTTGTATATGGCGGAGGCGTTGGCAGTTCGTCGATACAACTCCGTACTCTGTATACAGAAAATGTTTGTCCAATCTTTTATTCTACCTTGGTCTTAACTTCTTCATCACTAGTCGTTCTCTGTAAAAAAAATTTTAACTTTTTTCCCTTTTTAATTTCTAATTTAACTTTAAGTTTGCTTTTACTTGAATAATAAATTCACTATTATCAATCTCTCATGTTCCTTTTGTGCATTTTCACACCCTTTTCACACTTGTTAAATCGACACTCAACTACCACCTTTATTCTCATTCAATAAAAATTTTAACCTTATCAAATTTCTATGTTTGTGCCATTGAGTACCACGTAATTTACAACTTTTAATTTTCACTTCTAAAGCCACTTCTCATTAATTATATCAATTATGTCACCCTCCCCCTATTACTCAACAATGGACTACTATACATTTTTAGTAAATATAAATACGACTGTACAGCCTGTGAATATGATTTCGGCAACAGAGAAAATTTTCTTCGCTGAACTATCTTTTATTTTCTTCAACAGTGTGAAACTTTATCAAAATAAATACATTTTATTCATAATAGAATTCAGCTTAAATCATTAGATTATATCAACGGCACTTATAGTAATGGTTATCCCCCTTTGAACAAAGGCATATTGAAATAATTTATATTGACAGTATTACTTTAAGAGACGAGGCTCTAATCAGCGAATCAATTCTCCTCTTTTTAGCTGCACAGTCATATTTTCCATCAAAAAGAGTTTAGTAACAAAAGTGATGAATTGTCACAATCATAACTTATTATTATTATTGCTTCGCTCAAGTTCCTAGAGGAATAAAGGGCTTCAGCCCCAGGTCTTCATTGCGCGTTCGGTTCTCTACCAAACTTTTCACCTGACTCTACATCTGCCCACATGCTTTCATCTCCTCTTCACATAACCCCCTCCATGTCACCCTTGAACGATCGACTCACCGCTTCCCATCAGCGTTCCACTCGAGGGCCTGTCCTGTGATGTCAATTGATGGTTTGTTTTCTCAGAGTATGGCCAATCCACCTCCATTTCTTCCTAAATATTTGTTGCACAATTAAATCCCAGCTGGATCGGTTCGCTCCCAGAGATCCATCCCTGTTGCTGATCTTTCCTGACTGGCCATCTCATCTTGAGTAGTATTGAACGAAGACAGATGTTAATGAAGGCCTATAGTTTGTTCGAGGTGCTCTTCATGACACGCCAAGTCACTGATCCCTATAGTAGCACTGACTGACTTCACATTTCAGTTGAAAACGTGGATCTTATTTCCATTTTCATGCTGAGTATACTGTTGATGTCCACACAGACTTGAGAGTAATGAAAGCTTGCTTGACTTGCTTTCCCGATCCTCGCTGCTTTGATATCCTCATCAGTTCTGTCCACCTGTAGTTGAAACGGTGCTTCCCAGATATGTAGGTAAGCAAAAGAGGCTGTTTCCTTCAGATTTCTCCCATTTATGCTGGCTGATTGTTGTTGTTGGCCAGGAATCTTCATCATCACCTCTGTTTTCTCTATGTTCACCTGAAGTCATATTTTCTTTGGATGCTTCTTCTATAGCCAACTTGTTGCTTTTCATCACTTGCACATCTTCCAGCTTGTGACAAATCACACAAATATCAGCGGTGAAGTTTCTTTTTGTGTGGGTCCATTTTAAGCCTGTTTCCTCGCTGCCCGCTGTCTCCCGCAATCAAGAACATAATCATAACTGCGCATGTAATATTAATCAACATATAAGAGATGCTGCAGATAGTGAAATAAATAATTTAATGAAGCCGAAGGAGTGCAATAATCGAGCACCTTAAAAACTCATAAGCAGCTAAAAATGCTGTCTAGAAGGACAGCAAAAGCTTCACAATTAAATCAACCAGCTTAGAGAACACAACTAATTCAAAATTGAGCACCCTATGGATACTGATAATTCCACCTCAAAATATTCCTCCCTGAAACCGAAGAGAGACGTGTCAAGGACAACGCGCCTTATTAGATGGTCGGAGGACGTATATACTGCTCAGCAGTCTTCCCTGTTGTTATTTGTGTCTGGCTGCGAGATAGTGCTATCTAAATTGGAAGATATGAAAAGCCTGGATAGCTCTCTTTCATCATAGGTGACTGCGTCCTACCTCCAGTGTTAAATGGTATAATAAGTTGAGCAATATTGAGGTGAGTTCACAGTCCAGGGGAAATCAATCGACAAGGTTGTGAAGCAGCCGCCGCATCGATCAAGATGGTTAGGACATGTGTTACGCATGCACCCCTAGCCAACCATCGCCTTTCTCGACCGACGGGAGATGTTAGCTGAATGACATAGGATTGATCAGGGTGGAAAAGAGAGAGAGAGAGCTAGTGATGGTGTTGGTCAAACCAAAACATAGCTTCGTCAGTCAATGAAATTCACAACAGTTGGTTTAAGACAGCTACGTAGGGAGGTGTCGACTGCCTAATTGACTAGTTGGCATCCTTAGGATGGTAAGTAAGAACCAATGAGCGCTGAAGACAATAAATAATAAAACTCTATTGTTCTTCCACGTTACTATTCTTTTTCCCTCACTCGAACTTCTGCTTATTATCTCTCTCTCTCTTCTGTCGAATCTCTCTTTGCTGTCTTCTCTTGCTTGTGTAGTATCTGGAGGGAGTGTGGCAAGTTGAACTGCTGCACATCTGTGCAAAGTTCTACGTTGAAGCCAGTCAGTCAGTCAGTCGGGCAATGACTTTCAAGGTTACCAAGAGAAATGATTAACAAACTCGTAGAGAATTTTCAAAGTTCACACTTTAAATTAAAGTATGCATTGAGAATATTGTCTATTAAGACAATGCTAACAGCTTCACAAGTAAACCATCCAACTGAGAGTACAACAACTACACTAAATTCACCCACTTGAGCTTCAAATGTAAGACGATACAAAAAACTTTTGTCTACATCTTTTAACTACTACTGTTGAGCCAGTTACTTGCATAGGCCGTACAATTAGGCGCGTCTCTCGTTGAATTTCCAAACATCATCCTGCAAAGTGGTTAAGTAAACAACAAACAAAATCTATTCGTAGCGCTATTCTATCTCACTCATCTTGTGGATACAGAACACAAGATCGATGTTAACCAGGCTTTTAGGTTCATTTACCGCATACCAACAAATCTTAATTTTGCCTTAAGAGTTCGACTACTAAATTTTGCTGAGGCTGGCTGTTGGGATCCATACGAAGAAGCCTAGATTTTGCGTCCAAAAGGAGTTAGTTCAGGCATTATCCTTACCTTGGTCATCTAGGTTTCAATGATCCTCAATTTGTTGTGAAATTTTCCTAATCTAAAGTTGATATTCTATATGCTACTATGTATTTATTATTATAATAATTTACGCATCTTTAGTGGATTGTAATTCCATTGTGATCTTACTTAAAAAATCGATAGTATTTAAAAAACACAAAAATTGTTATTGACTAACATTCTAGAATGTTCTATATATATATATATATATAATTATTACTATCATTATTTCCTTTAATTCCTAGAGGAACATAGGGCTTCAGCTGCGCGTCTCCATTGCGTTCGGTTCTCTGCTAACGTTTTCACCTGGCTCCACATCTTCCCACATGCTTTCATCTCCTCTTCGCATGACCTCCTCCAAGTCACCGTTGGACAACCAACTCACCTCTTCCCGTTCGGCTTCCACTAGAGGGCTGCTTGTCTAGTGATGTCACTTGATGGTTTGTTTTCTCAGGGTATGGCCAATCCACCTCCATTTCTTCCTGCATGTTTGTTGTACAATTGTTTCCTGCTACGTTGGTCCATTTATTGCTGGAGATCCCTGTCGCTGATCTTTTCTGGCTGGCCATCTCATCTTGAGTAGTATTGAACGAAGACAGATGTTAATGAAGGCCTATAGTTTGTTCGAGGTGCTCTTCATGACACGCCAAGTCACTGATCCCTATAGTAGCACTGACTGACTTCACATTTCAGTTGAAAACGTGGATCTTATTTCCATTTTCATGCTGAGTATACTGTTGATGTCCACACAGACTTGAGAGTAATGAAAGCTTGCTTGACTTGCTTTCCCGATCCTCGCTGCTTTGATATCCTCATGTGTTCTGTCCACCTGTAGTTGAAACGGTGCTTCCCAGATATGTAGGTAAGCAAAAGAGGCTGTTTCTTTCAGGTTCCTCCCATTTATGCTGGCTGATTGTTGTCTGTTGTTGTTGTTGGCCAGGAATCTTCATCATCACCTCTGTTTTCTCTATGTTCACCTGAAGGAAGTCCTATCTTTGATGCTTCTTATATAGCCAACTTGTTGCCAGAAGAGGAAATTATCGAATAGGATATTCTTGGCACGCTCGATTACTTTGTGTTTTATAAATAACTATTTGTCAAAATCTTATTTTTATTCTAATATATATTTTCTAAAAAATCAAGATCTCGAGAAGTCATCATCATGTACAACACAATAAGATGAAAACAACATAAAGTAAGATAAGGTGAGCGCAGTATAAATACAAATTCCTCTGAATAGAAAAACTTGAATTATCATCCTGTTTTTGTCTCCAGTGTAAATATACAACTAATTAAAGATGTCGTAGGATCCAGATGACAGTTGTTAATCAACAATGGATCTTTCAATTGACTCATTTGATCCACAGATAAAGAATGTTTCCAATTCAACAAGAAACCAAGTGAATCAGACGATGATGTTGTCTTTGTAGATGATGAATTAGTTCTTGTCAAAGATGTTGACGAAGATAACATCGATTGTTGTTGTTGTTTAATAAAGCTGAATTGTGATTTAGGCGATTTCAGCATATTATTAGCAGCAGCAGCAGCAGCACTGTTAACACCTGAATGTGGATGGAGAGTACTTAATTGAAATACACGAATATCAGAGAGTTCATCGTCGGAATCTTCATCAAAATTACAACCATTATCGCTATCATCATCATCAGCAGTAGTACTAGCAGTGTCTTTATGCATTGTTAGGTCTTTTCGATTGATATTCTCCTTATCTTTATGTTCCAATTTAACTGGATCATTATTATTGGATAAGCCGGAGGAAGATGTTGTTGAAAGAGATGGACTTGGTGTGTGGCTAGAGCTTGGCTCGACTTCAATAGATCGCTGACAATTACATTGAATTAAATCATGTGTCCATGATACAGTTTGTGTATTTGGAATTAAGAATAGTTCCTAAAATTGTAAGAAAGACAATATTTATGAAAAATCAATAAATCAAAATGAAAGAAGAGGAACAGACCATTGACCGATAAGATCATATGCACCAAACTTAAAATTTATTATTATTCCCTTGCGCTCCCCTAGTGGAACATACAGCTTCAACAACACATCTCCACTTTCTTCTGTTTTCTGTCGTCCTCTTCAGCTGGCTAGCTCTACGATCGACCAAAAACTCTCTCATATCTTCCTGACACGATCTCCTCCATGTCACCCTCACACAGACACAACCAACTCGTCGCTTTCCAGTGGGATTCTCTACTCGACGGGATGGCTTGCATTGCGTGCGATGATATTCGACGGCCTCTTCAACATATCCTCGATCAATCTATCGCCATTTTCTCCTACATATTATTTGTTGAGCGATCGGCTCTTGCCTGTTGGTTTGTTTCCATAGTTTCTTGTTTTTGACCCATATAGAAGAACCGAGTTAACATTGGTGTTCAAAAATGCGAATCCTGTTCCTTATGCTTAATGTTGGAGATTTCTAAACCGATTTCAGATTGAGGAAGGTGTATCCCAACCTTTTCAAATCTGATTTTGACATCTTCATCCGTTCCGCCTGTAGTTGAAACGATGTTTTCTAGATAAGTGAAGGAAATAACCTCTGTCAAGTCTCTCCCTTTCATGGTGATTGGTGTTTGTTGTCGCTGTTGGTTGTTTGTCGTCATCACCTCTGTCTTCGCAATATTTACCTGGAGTCCGATCTTCGCTGCCAGCCAGCCAGCCAGCCTCTTCACAGCCAATTTGTTGATATTCGCTAGCAAGTCTTCAACTTTGTGTGCCATTAAATATAAACCACCCCCACGCACCAAAATCCAGATCTTCTAGAGTCTTCTTATAGGTGGTCCAACGTATCCCTGTCTTCTCTCTCCCCACGCACAGTCTGACGCATAATCTAGTCCATCACAATTAAGAATATCATCTGTGGTGATAATAAGCAGCCAGCTTTTGTCTTACTCGTTTATTTACTTCGAATGCCAATTCCAAGTACATTGCAATAGTGAGTCACCTTGTCTAGTGACGACCGCATTACAAATTTCAATGATAAAATTCAATCAAAACTGATAAAAAAAAGTCTAGAAACTTGATGTTGGTTATTCCCTTAGTGATCGATCAGTGTATGAATCACAATCCCACACAATGTCAATCATGATTATAAGTAGGTCAGTGGTGGTACAGTAGTTTGTGCCTTCACCACTGGATGACGCCGGTTAGAACCTCGCAACAAGCATATAAGCCGAGGTTTTCTATCAATGGCCTATAAGTACTTAAAACTAAGTCTTCGATGTACACGCTAAAATAGAAAACGAATCAAAAGAAAAAAAACAAATCAAATAATCAAAGATCAGCGGGAATGAATTTCAGTCAACAAATCGATAACAAAGAGAGATGTCAGTTAGCTACTCCAGATCAAATCCAATCAGAAGATATCAGACTGTAGAAGGACTATAACACTGAATTTCCAGGTAATATAATTTACAGGATTTCATCATGAGCTGCGATTGGTTAGATAACCATTGGAAAACCAACTGGGAGTACTGGACGGATGTTTCGACTTAGTTTAGGACTCTTCAACAGTACGCATCAAACCCAGGGGAATTCGAGCCCAGGACCTTCTGGTTACAAGGCGAGCTAGCTCGTAGACCATTAAGCCACTGGGACCCGATCCAATGGCTAGCCAGTCCATGAATTCTAACTTCTGCCTATTCACGGCATAGCGTGACCGCTAGCCAATGTCTTCACTGGCGAGTATTTGTCCTCACACCCGACCTGCTGCACCCTACTGGTCATAATCTCCCACTAGAGCCCAGGGTAACTACTACCTACCTGAATAGGGCAAGTCGCTGGTGACCATCTCATCAATATTCAAGTATTGGCTTTTGTAGGGATTTGGTTGATTGGTTACAGGATTGGTCATCATGAGCTGACGATATTGGTTAGAGAACCATTGGTACCATTGGCTTATTGGTCTACGAGCTAGCTCGCCTTGTGACCAGAAGGTCCTAAGCTCGAACTCCACTACTGGGTTGTGTGTGTACTGCTGAAGAGTCCCTAACTAGGATCACAGAAACAGCCGTCCAGTACTCCCAGATTTTCCAATCGTTTTCTAACCAATGGCAGCTCATGATGAATTCCTGTAACCAATCAAATCCCTACAAACCAACACTTGAATAATTTAATTTATTTGCATTGAAATGTTTGGTCATTGTTGACACATCAGAATCTAGTATGAACGCTTCAGCTTTGCCTTAACATTAACATATCGGATAACCGGGGAATCCGGTACACATATCCCTTTCCAGTTGAGACTCACTCACCGGAAGTATCTTCATCTCCAGTGAGTAAAAATAGATTCCAGTTCCTTGCAGAATATTTGAATAAAGTATTTTACTGTTTTTTTTATCAGTGAGTAGGAACTTAGCTGTCTGGAAAAAATTTCTCATACACCAGACTGTGAGACGTGCTCTGATGCCTAAGAGCCACCGGAGTTGAAGTGAGTCAATCGTGATGTGAAACCAAGACTCGCTGTGGCTGGAGACTGCGTGGTTAGTCATCGAATAAGCCATATTATCAATGACTTCCTCCTACAGCAATATGAGCGAATCTCTTTTTCTTTAAAGACACGGGAATTGCTGCCGTAAAAGACTTTATAAATAATGGTGAGTACCAATCTCTTAAGTATGTTCACATTCCAAAGGTAAGAAAGAAAAAATGTTACCTAATCAACACTTGTATATACACACAGCTGGTTATAAAATATACCCATTAGATGACAATTAATAATAATATTAACAGCTTTATTCCAAACGGTTTTTGTGGTACAGGTATGGAATTTTCAGCGTGCATTAGCAAGAAAGAAGCCTGGCAAAGAACTAAACAAAAACCTATCGCCCCACAGATAAACAGAAAGAAGGGGGGGCCGGATTAGGCTTGACTAATATGGTACCTAAAGTCCTAGGCTCAATAATCATGCATAGACTAAATGGTGCTCGGGAGGCACAAACACAAGAGAACCAGGCAGGCTTTAAAGCAGGAAGAGGGTGTATTGATAATATCTCCCTTCACTTTTCGACAGATTCTGGAATGGAACATAGGCATACTTACCATCGGCGCCCAACAATCGCCATATTTCTTGACCCAGAGACGGCATTCCGTTTTGTCGACCAAAAGGTACTCTAGCGATGTTTGGTTGCACTCTAATCGAACTCATGCAGCCAGCCAGGTGAGAGCCTAGTGAGAGTTGTCATCTGAAGTGGTGTCTGACAGGGATGCCCATTACTCCCATTTCTATTCGATTTCATCATAGATGTACAAATGGACTTAATCCTGACTCACTTCAGAAACTCAGGGAATAATTTTTACCACGGAATAATCTCGTTGACTTAGAATATGCAGATGATATAGTCCTTCCACCTGGGTGAAGATACTGACAAAATGCAGTCTTCTGAATACCTTGAATTGCAATCTGGGGATTTTCGGCGTACGATTCGCTCCCGCTGAATGTCAGATGATGCTACAGGACTGGACTACATTGACTTCTAGCTTAGAAATAGAGTGTAGTGGTGGAGCACGTTTACTTCACATATTTGGGAAGTTGCATCAGCCCCAACGAGTTGATCTCTGACGAATTCTCAGCATGGATACAGAAGGCTAGTTTCGCACATGCCAATTTACGTCGTCCCTGGCAAAGACGTGATATCCGATTGGCCGGCTGTCGACCAAAGACATGTGTACTGATCAGCAGTCCGGTCCATCCTCCTTTGTGACTGTGAGACCTGGTCATTGAGAGCAGAAGACATCAAAAGCCTGGCTAACTGTCTTTGATCACAGGTGCCTGCGTTTTTATCTCCCGTGTGAAATGCTTTAATAGGATTAGCAGTATTGAGGTTAGGCATCGAGTGCTGGGTAAAGAGGGGAAATCAATCGACGAGGTTGTGAAGTTATATCAGCTGATAAGGTTAGGACATATGTTACGTATGTATCCCTAGCCATCGCCTTTCTCGATGGGCAATGTTAGCTGACATAGGGTCAAGTTGGAAAATAGAAAACCAGTGATGGTCAAACCAAAACATGGTTTCATCAGTCAATGAAATCCACAACAGTTAATTTAAGCCACGTAGGAAGGTGTATACTTCCTGGTCGGGGTCCTAAGGACGGCTGGAGTCAGTCGGTGATATGACACAAAGTGATCGTTCTCAATGGCTGGCTGGCGCAGATGCATCCACTCCTTGTGACTTATGATTTCCAATGAAACTATTGTTCTTCGCTATTACTATTCCTTTTGTCTCATATCTATGTTTATTGTCTCTATTATGCATTTCATCTACTTTCCTCTCTTGCTTTGTGTGCTGAGTGAAGTATGGCGACTTGAACTGGTGCACATCGGTGCAAAGTTGTTCTATGCTGAAATCAGTCAGTCAGTCAGTCGGTCAGGAAATGGATTAGACACTAACTGAGGAGACTGTTGAGTAGCATCACGTGTCAGGTCATTGAGTAGAACTAAAATACAAAACTACAAGATAGAGAGGGGTTCACAGGGTGACATAGGTAAGATCGTGTGAGGAGAAGAAATGAAGGGTGAAATGGAATGTGCTATTGAAGCTGTATACTTCACTCGGAACCCAGGAGAATAATGATAAATAATAATAATTACAGATTGTGTGAAAGGTAATGATACTACAAAGCAGTCGAATCCTTATTAGTTGGAGAGGAGGTTGAACCCATGATCCAGTGGTCAGAAGCCGAGAGCTTCCATCAACAGGGATGTAACCACTTGTGACAAGAAATGTCAAAAACACAACGAACATCATAGATTTTCTTAACACTGCCACTACATTACAATAACTAAGTGGTTAAGGTGAGAATATTACATAATCAAGAGACATAATTACAATTTAACAACATTCACATACCTTCAATTCATCTCGAGTAAGAATTCCAGACGTTGTATTCGACTTTTTATCAATAAAGTTATACAGATGGTTATTATTATTATTATACATTGATGAATTGACTAGCGTTTGACTAGTTAAAGCCAACTTAGCTGCTTGTCGTTGAAATATTCTCTCTTCCATACCACCAGCTGTGACTAAGCGATATAATCGAACTGGTCTCAACTGACCTGGACGCCAAATACGTGCCATTGCCTAAAAAAATCAAGTTAAAATGAGGGGGGGGTGGCAATCAATTTTAAGCTGATCAATTCATCACAAACAGTTATCCATTAGAAGGAGAACAAAAGCTTCACACAATCAAAATCAACCAGCTACAAGAATACAGACAAACCAAAATCGGCTAAGTTAAACTTTAAGCATCACTAACTAACTACCAATCAGCAAATGACCTCGAATGCACCAATCACGTGAAGGAGGCATTTTCGCATATGCAGTATACATATATTTATGAGAGAAAATGCATAAAAACTATAGAAAAGTGTTACAGAGGATACCTTCCGCGCACATGTGATAAAGCCAGCTCTCCGTTTTAGGTTCGGGTATCAATAGAGTATAAATTCTTAGTATACAATTGGTGGATGGTGGCTAGCAGTGGAATCCAGGAAAACGCGCATTTCGTCTGTCCTATTTGGGACTCGTCAGCTATCTGGATGTACCTGCATTTCTCAGTGAGTGATGATGTTCCCACCGAGGCTCGAACCAAGTACCCATAGTTTCAAACGCCAAAGCGTTAACCACTAGAAACTATGGGTACTGGGTTCGAGCCTCGGTAGGAACATCATCACTCACTGAGAAATGCAGGTACATCCAGATAGCTGACGAGTCCCAAATAGGACAGACGAAATGCGCGTTATCCTGGATTCCACTGCTAGCCACCATCCACCAATTGTATACTAATTAAATACCCAGACATCGTCGAAGCATGTGCACAAGAAGCCGGCATGTCAACCTGAGACCGAGCACTTCGGTCCAATCAATCGACGGGAAAATCAAAAATTCAATTCAATGAGTATAAATTCTCTTGTGGGTAAACTTTATTTTGATAAACTCTCATAGTGTGTTATACAGTAATATTTATTGAGCAATAAATTGTGCTTAAAACGTGGACATCAGTAAATATCACTTACTGTATAACACAGTGAAACTTTATCAGAATAAATTTTACCCACAATGGAATTATACTCCACCGTCACAGTGCACAAGTTCTATTTTTATGTCAACAGAGTCTGTCTGTCTGTCTGGATTCAACATAGAACTTCTCACCGAAGTGCACCAGTTCAACTTGCCACGTTCCAAATAGCCCACAGAGGTAGACAAGAAGATGAGTGAAGAGAATTAATAGAGTTTGACAAGTATAAGAGTGAAACAGAATGGGTAATGGTAGAAAGGAATATGAAAGATTACAGAGACAGAGTAATTTAACCGCATTCTATGCATGTAATGATTTAGATCTTCTAACCCCAACAATAATCCTAATCTTTTCTGAACCTAACCCTAATGTGAAAATATCCCTAAACTAAATGTAATCTAACTCGAACCAACACCCTAATGTCGCTTTTATTAGGTTAACCTAACTAACCCTAACTTGTCCTTGGTTTAAATCTAAGCTGAAACTTGTCAGATGTCCCATTTATTAGCATAACACTTCGATGAGCATATTTTATTGATGATTTGCCAGGTTTCACTAACCTGCTCAGCGGGTGTTTCTAGGTCATTGGTGCGGTCGCACTCGATTGGTACTTAGTTGTGCTTAAAGTTTAACTTGTCCAAAAAATCATCTCTATTATTTCAATTGATGAATCAATAGCCTTCATTAACAATTCAGCTTCTCCAAGTATTGGTTTGTAGGGATTTGATTGATTGGTTGCAGGATTTCATCATGAGCCGACATTGGTTCTAGTGGGAAGTCGTGACCAGTAGGGTGCTGCAGCAGGTCGGGTGTAAGGACAAATACTCGCCAGCGAAGAAGACATTGGCTAGCAGTTGTGTTATGTCGTGAATTGGCAGAAGAGTTACAATTCATGCAGTGGCCATTAGATCGGGTTCCAGTGGTTTAATGGTCTACGAGCTAGCTCGCCTTGTAACACCAGAGGGTCCTGAGTGGGTGCGTACTGATGAAGAGTGCCAAGCTAGAACGAAACATCCATCCAATACTCCCAGTTGGTTTTCCAATGGATCTCTAACCAATGGCAGCTCATGACGAAATCCTGTAACCATTCAGCTTCTGTAGACCACTACTGAAAAGCTTAACATTCTTCTTTCTTAATTATATATTTGATACATTGTCGTATTTTAAATTTCAATTTTATTATAAGATTTTCTTTTACGAACCATCATCCATTATTAGAGAGAGATCACTGAAAACCAGAGAGCACTGGAGAGTTGTTTTTTTTTTTATCTATATATCAACCTTCAGCTTCATTGTCGGCTAGTAGACGAATGTCCTGAAGCTGTATACAGATGTCGTGACTAAATGGGGTCGTCCATCATGTCAAGGCGAAGTAGATGTCCACAGAAAGCAAAGATTGAGGTTAGCGCTATATATCACGACTTGACAAAGTCTCGCTGACTGGTTTCAATAAAAAGCTTTGCACACAAGTGTACTAGTTCAACTTGCTACAACTCCGTTTACCATAACAAAGGAAGACAAAGGAAAAAAAAGGAGATGGAAAATAACGATAGTAGGCAGAAATATGAAGGAGAAAGAACAGAATTCTATTAAACCTGGCACATCACAAAGAGTGAATGCACCTGCGCGCAAGCCATCGACAACGATCACTTTGAACCATCTCACCGATTGTCTCCAGTCTTCATTGATATTTACCGACACGACGACCCCCCCCCCGCCAACCAGGAAGTCTACACCTTCCTACGTGGCTGGCTCGCTGGCTTAAACTAACTGTTGTGGATTTCATTGACTGACGAAGCCATGTTTCGGTTTGACCATCACTAGCTCTGTTTTTTTTCAACCCGATCAATCCTATTTCAGTCAGCTAACATCGCCCGCCCATCGAGGAAGACGATGACTAGGCATATGTAACATATCTCCTGACCATCTCGATCGATGCGGCTGCTTCACAACCTCGTCGATTGATTTCCCCGTGTTACCTAGCACTCGACGCCTAACCTGAATGTTGCCTAACCTATTATACCATTTCACACGGGAGATAGAACGTAGACATCTATGATCGAAGACAGCTAGCCAGGTTTTTCATGTCCTCTACTGTCAAAGACCAAGTCTCACAGCCATAAAGGAGGATGGTGGAGCGGACTTCTGATCAGTACACACGCCCTCTGATCGACAGCCAACCAGCCGGATATCACGTCTACTAAGCCAGAGATGGGGTAAACTGGCATTTGCGAGACAAGCCTTCTAGTATCGGTGCTGAGATTTCGTCAGCGGTCAACCCACTGGCGTCAGCTGATGCAATTTCCCAAATAAGTGAAGTGGCAGGAACCCTGTGTGACAGTGAAAGAACACCTCCTTAGTAAGCTTCTCACAGTTTTTTTTTCCTGTCAATCTCCTTGCCATAAGAAACGAATGAGTAAATTTTTTTTTGATAAAATTCAAACAGGGAATTAAATTTACCTGTGCATCATTTGCTGGATTCCAATCTATATCGAATAAAATCAAGTAATTTGCCCCGATCAAATTAAGACCTGTTCCACCAGCACGTGAACTAAGCAACAATATACCTGGAATAGGTAAGAAGAAATCAAAAGGTTTTAACTATGACAATGTTGAATACTGCATACATCCATTATTTTTCCCTGACATTCCCCTAGTGGCAATATAGGGGGCTTCAAACGAACATCTTCGGCTCACTCTCTATTCTTTGTAGTCCTTTGACAACTGGCTTCACAATTGACTATAAACTTTCATCTTCTAGTCAAATGATCTCCTTCATATCACTTCTGAAATCAAATCCAACTCGTTGTTCCCCATTTAGGTTTCACATGAGAGTCTGTTAAACACACGATGTCTCTCAACAGTCCACAAAAGCATATGTTCAATCCTATTGCATATTGGTTGTGCAATATACGTTGGTATGCCATGCAGAAGAACTGTTTGTTCTTTATCCTTTCTAGTTGGGCATCTGATCTTCAGTGTTAAACACCGACAGTTGTGTTGATGAAAGCCTGCAGTTTGTTGAGAAAGACGTTTTGCACCACGTCAACACTTTTTGAAGGACATAGAGAAGCATCAACCTGAAATTAGAGATTCGAAATTCTGATTTTCATGGATAATCCCCATCCAAGCAATAGTGAAAATAAAACACACAAATCAGCGAAGAGTCTCTTTTCGCCAGTGAATTCATTTCCCCTTTAGCTGTACAATCGCAAATATATATGTGTTGTTTTGTATGTATGAGTACATTCAGTTTGTTAAACAAAAACAGACAATTGGTTAAGGTTACTTTTATCTAAACAGGTTAAGAAGGTTGGTAATACAGGTCAAGAAAATTAAGTGTTAATGAAACTAGGGTAGTAACAAAGGTGATAATGAGTTGTCACAACCAGTTGTTAAAAGAAGAAATTGTGTAATAATATGAATAGTTTGATGGGTGAGTTTTACTCAGGATGCACATAGAAACAAAGTAGAGAATACGAAACTATGTAAGAGTTCTAAATGAATATACAAGAATTATAAGCAATTAAAGAACAGGCAAAGAAACAAAATAGGAGCCTAAGAAGATCGATCCATAGAAAAGCTAAGTGGAATGGTCAAGTAACAAGTTTCTATAGCTGGGTACCCATTCAACGAAAGCGGAATCTAATTAAATCACTTGCCACTCGCATCCAAAGCCTCTGTAGTCTCGACGTTCTGGAAACAGAGTTGGATATTCTAGGAGAAATCTTCATCGGAAATGAATACTCAATAAGATTCATCGACAAAAATATCAAACCAATAATTCGGAGAAACGAAACTTTAATTGCGCCTAAAGAGAAACTCTACGTGAACTTGGATTTCAAGGAAGATTTAGCAAGCGATATTCTCAAGAGAAGGATCACATAATCTCTGAGAAGAACATTCTTTGCACCAACGCTAAGAATAGTGTTCTCCAGTCGCCCACTGATCTGTAGAAGCCTCAAGGACAAGATCCCGTATCTGATCACTTCTATGTGCATATATCAGTTCACTTGCTGCTGTGGAGCCAGGTACATCGGTCGTTCGACGCGCACCCTGTCCAAGAGGATTCAAGAACACTATCCAGCATGGTTGCGAAAAGGCAATAGTGGTGCAATAATTGAACACCTGGTTAACACTGATCATTGTGTAAAGGCTAGAGCTGCACTCTCAAACAAAAGGCCGAGCGATGCTGGGGACATCACTCGTACCCAATTCCCATGAAACTTCATGGTTCATGAAGCCGGCTCATCCTCCCGTAGGAGATAGCCGAAGTAAAGTAAAGTAAGTAAGTTAACACTGATCATTCCATCTCAACAACAAACGCCTCCTGCTTCAAAATAATCTACAGAGTCAAGAATAATCTACTAAAAGCAATACCATTTCGTCTTCTTTGTATCGCTGAAACTCTGGCCATTCACATAGAAAAACCGGAGGCTTGCATACAAAAGAGAATTACTCAACCACTTCTATTATCATGGTAACTACTTTGTTGACTTTCGATGACTTAATTTTGTTTGTTTGCCTTATAATTGCTTATAATTCTTCTATTCATTTGGAACTCTTACATAATTTCGTATTCTCTTCTTTGTTACTATGTGTATCCTGAGTACAACTCAATCATCAAACTATTTATAGTGTTATGTAACTCCTTTTTAACAACTCGTTTATGACAACTCATCACTTCTGTCACTACACTAGTTTTCTTGGCCGTTTTTGTATTACGTAACTCTACCAAAAACTCACTAATTTTCATCAGTTTTATTTGACAAACTTCATGTACACATACATACAAAATAACACATGTATATTTGCGATTGTACAGCTAATAAAATGAATTCGCTGCTGAAAAGAGACTCTTCGCTGATATACGTGTTTTGTTTTCATTAATTCTGATTTTGTTCAATTTGAGGAGTGTTATAATTCTCAACAATGATTATAGAATGATGTCTTGCTTTTCAAATCTTGGCTGGCTTTGACACCGTCAATGACTGACTTACTGACTCGTTTCAACGTACAACTTTGCACAGATACGCAACAGTTCCAGTTGCCACACTCCCTCCATGTGCCACACAAAGAAGAGAATAGGGTGCAGTGTGACTCAAAACAAAGAGATAATAAACACAAGTGTGTGAGGGAGAAATAAGAGTAGTATTGAAGAACAATAGAGTTCTATTGGATATTATAAATCACAGTGAGTGAATGCACCTGAATCAGCCATTGGACAAAGAGGATTTTGAGCCATATCATCACTAATTGTCTCTAGCCTTCATTGCTTTATATACCAGCCGGAAGACCCCAACCAGAAAGCCAGTCTACATCTTCCTACATGGCTTAAACTAATTGTTGTGGATTTCATTGACTGATGAAGCCCTGTTTTGGTTAGACCACCAATAGCTCCCTCTTTCCCTGCCTGATCTTATTCACCTAACATTTCTCGTTGAAGCAGGCGATGGCTGGGCATGCGTAACACACGTCCTGGTCACCTCAGTCGGTGTAACTTCACAATCTTGTCTATTGATATCTCCTCAATATCTCATGCTACGCATAGCTGGAACACTGATATCTAGCCAGGTAAGAGGAAGAAACGAGTCCCTTTAAACCTTTCCAACTGATAGTGATACGTGATTGTTGTTGTTGTTGTTGCTGTTGGTTACGCAGCTGTCTTCATCACATCTGCTTTCTCTATATATTCACCTGAATTTCTCTTTTCGCTGCCTCTTACATCAAATTATCGATTTTTGTTCGCAAAACTTGAAGTTCGTAAGATACGAGACGCAAATCCTCCACATACACACACACACACACAATCTAAATCTTCTAGGGTCTATTTTTGTCAGTTCAACAAATGTCCATCACCTTAATCTCTACCATGTAGGGTTTGTTGCACGATCCAGTAGTCACCACAATCAGGAATACCATTTGTCACGGAAGGCAGCCTTGTCTTATTCCCATTGTCTTCAGTTCGTATCTTTAACTGAGTGAATCACCTGGCACATAGCATCATCATGTAGCTATTGAACAAGGTCAATAAACGTTTGTTACAATTTATTGTTGAAACGCAGAAAAAAGCTTGGTACAATATGACACCAAGAAAGATCCGCCACACAATAATAATAAAACAACATAGATCAAAAGTAAAAAAAGATTTAAGTAGAGAGCGGATAAAGAACTTCATCCGGAAGGAAAACAGTCATGCTTAACAAATTCAAACAGTATTCATCAACTATCATCGGGAAGGGAAGAAAGAAGGAAATTGCAACACGTTCGTCATTAATGATTACGATTCTTGGCCATATCCGATAACGTTTCGAGCCATCGATTCGAACTATCTCGCAGACCCCAACCAGGGAGTCGTGACACACCAACCGATGCTAATCTAGCACAAAAATCCTTCATCCCACGACGCCACGTCATGGACTGACCACCTCTCCGCCTTTTCCATCCCGTACCAGGGCTGGCTAGTGAACAGAGACCTGTACGGAAGCCTCTGGGGTGACATTCGGAGCACATGTCCAAGCCACCGGAGCCGGTGTTTCCAGATGACAACACTCAATGAATGATGATATCCACTATGTTCAAACACACGCTGCAGAACCTCAGAATTACTCACGCGATGATGCCATCGGACGCAAGCTATCCTAAGGAGACAGTGGTGATCGCACACACAGAGTCGTCACACATCCTCAGCCCACTCGGAGAGGCCAGGTTTCACAGGCGTAGAGTAGGGCAGCCCGCACCGAAGCATTGTACACCCGACCTTTGACAACCAGACTAACGTCGCGACGGCGCCACAGGTGGTTCAAGTTGATGTATGCCACCTTAGCCTTCGTTATACGGTTGGAAATCTCATCCGTCACCCCTCCATCAGCACTCACACAACTACCCAGATACACAAACTTATCAACAACTTCAAGCGGTTCACCCGGAAGAGTGAGTGCAGGTACAGGCTCCTGCCAATCTTGTAACAGTACTTTGTACTTATATGGCGCAAACCACATACCATACTTACTGACACTGATCGCCAACTGATTAAGTGCGATTTGGGAAGCCTGTATGCAATCGCACAGTAAGACGATATCGTCTGCATACTCGAGGTCGAAAAGTTTATCTCCTCCAGGTGGCAGACCTACACCACCTTCACGCACATCCTTCACAGCTGACTCCAGAATGTCATCGATGGCAAAGTTAAAGAGAAATGGAGAGATTGGGCAACCCTGTCTAACCCCACTCTTGGTTGGGAACAGTGATGATAGTTGGTGGTATGCCCTCACTCCACCTGAGGTGTTTCTGTATAGGGCTTTCAAGATGTTAACAAATTTCTCAGGTGCACCTCTCTCTAACAGACAGTTCCAGATCACGAATCGAAAGCAGCCCTAATATCAAGAAACACAACGATCATTGGCCTGCAATACGTGTGGCGGTGTTCCAACAACTGACGAAGGGTGAACACATGATCAATGCATCCACACGCTGAACGAAACCCAGCCTGTTCTTCGCGAATCAATCCTTCAAGTATTTTGCACAACCTGCGAAGCAAGATAGAAGCCAATATTTTAGACGCAACCGGTAGCAGACTGATACCCCTATGATTGTCACACGAATTAAGTCGACCCTCTTTAAAGATGGGGACGATAATGGCTTCGTTCCACATTGATGGTACACTCTCAATCTCCTATATCTTCCTGAACAATCCAGTTAGATTCCATTATGGGTAAACTTTTGTTTTGATAAAGTCTCACAGTGTTATACAGTAATGTTTACTGATGACGTTTCGAGCACAATTTATTGCCACTCATAATCATATCAAGATATTCACACGACTTCCTAACTTCATTTATATAGTTCCATTATTTTTCACTTGATTTGATTGGCAGTAGTATGTTGCATATTTCAGGTATGAGTGAAGAATCATTCCTATTCCATGTGTTGGGTGTAGACTCGATGAACCAGGTTGGATTCAGTAATCAACCTCTCTCTCCACCTACATAGATTAGTTCTTAGAATTTTAACCCTCTCCCACCAAGCTATTGTGTGGTTGTGTGTTAGCGCATGCATTGCAAATGCTGAGCTCTTTTCTAAATTACTTATCTTTTCAGGGTCAACCATTCTTACCTTAGCTAAATTCTTATGTTCTGATAATCTTATTACCCCTGATCTGCTAGTTTGACCTATGTAGTTGACCTCACAGTCATTGCATGGTATTTTGTAAATTATATTATTTTGTCTAATTGGGTCAACTGGGTCCTTTAACCTACACAGCTTGTCCCTGAGTGAGTTTGTAGATTTAAATGCCACCCTAATTTCTGCTTTATTTAGAATCCTACGTAGGGTTTCAGATGTCCCCTCTTTATATGGCATACGTGTAGATGACTTATATTCTCTCTTATTTATGTTATTATTAATAGTTTCACAATTGTTTTTTATTTTTCGTTTGGCCTTTTCTGATCTTCCTAATGAATTTTAAAGGATAGTTATTTAACACCAAAGTCTCTTCTATCTGTTTTAGTTCATCATAGAATGGTGGCCAGACTCTCACAATGACTTATGGCGTTTGGGAATAAACAATTGGGTCAGTTTATCACATTGAAACATCAGCCGAATAGCTTCATGGTGGATGCCGTCAATTGTCTTTATTAGGATATTACAGTTGATATGATAGTTAATACAATGTAGAAGAATTGTTGGAGGCTATCAGCCACAGGAAGCCCTGCCAGGCCTCAGTTTCATGTTAGTTGGCACTCACCAGCCAGTCATCAAGGCGTATCTGCAACCTTAAAGGAACTTATGCCCCCCCACCCTCTGAAATTCGAACCCATGTCACCCAGTGTCACTCTACACCAACAAAAAGGATTAGTGGTAGATCAGAATAAGTACAACGTTAAAGGATATCACGCACCGCGTGAAGCAGGCCCTCAAGTGAAATCCCACTAAGAAACGACAAGTTGGCAATGAGTCCAAAGATGTCATGGAACAGAATCCTGTAAGAAAATGAAATTTTATGGACAGCCATAAAACCAGCTGAAAAAGACCCCAGAGAACAGGATGAAATGGAGATATCTAGTTAGAGGCCTTGTGTTCGACTAGGAACACCCATGAGTTCCACTGTCAACCCTCCACTCTTAAGGAAAAGAGAAAGATAGAAAAAAACTTCCTATCACTTACAATCATTGGATTTAGGATCATTAATTCTTTGAACTATTTCATTACGTTGTTTATTTGTTGTTTGACCATCCAGGCGTAGACATGATTGTCCAGTGACTAAATTACACAACTTTTCGAGTAGATCAAGAGTCTAGCGAACAAAACAGAAACGGAAAAGGTGTATTGTTAATTATAAGATGAGAAAATATGAACAATATGAGCAGTAATAATTTATGCTTGAAACGTGGTCATTGGTTAACATTACTGTACTGTATAACACTGCACTGTGTGACAGTTTATCAAAATAAAATCTTATCCATAATGGAGTAGTTATACTCTACCACCAAAGTGCCCAAGTTTTATACTTATATCAAGACTAAAATAAGCATCAAAGAAAAGTTTATTTGACAGAATGTAGAATGATGCACAGTTAACAACTGAACGGATGACTTCCAAACTGAATCATTGGTCATTGGATACACGTTAAATACATGGCCATGCAGTGGGAATGATACAACACTTGTCTCAGATATGCGAAAAATTGTATTTAAAGGAACTATATGAAGTTGTTGTTCATTACCTTCACGTCCCAATCGATAGCTGCTACCTTGATGTGGTGGTCGGTGGGCTCGCAATGACCCAACAAGCTACAGTGGCTGAAACTAATGATCCTCCAGGTCCTAACATGCCACGAAGATTGTAATGATGGAGATTAGACTGAAAGCAGTTACTGTTACAGTGTAAGTTATTTGCGGTATGTTGGGGGTATATGTGGAAAAAGTCGCACTGCTGGGAAACAGGGATGTAACAGCAGTAAGGTAGTTCCCCTCAAATGACCAGTACGCCAGCCACCTATGCTGTCTCACCACAGTGCACAAGTTTTACTCTTATATCTACCGCCCACATACTTACTATCTATCTATTTATTTTCAATATAGGACTTTGCACCGATGTGTAGCAGTTCACGTCACCACACTCACTTCATGTAGCACACAAAGCAAGAGGCGAAAGTAGAAGAAATCCATAATAGAGACAGCAAACAGAGGTGTGAGACAAAGGAATAGTAATAACGAAGAACAATAGTTTCATTGGAAATCAAAAGTCACAAGGAGTGGATGCATCTGCGCCAGTCGTTGAGAAGGATGTTGAGCATTATCACCAATTGTCTCCAGCCTTCATTGGTTTTTACCGTCCCGAAGACCCCAACCAGTCAGGAAGTCTACACCTTCCTACGTGGCTTAAACTAACTGTTGTAGATTTAATTGACTGGTGTGGCCATGTTTTGGTTTGACCACCGCTAGCTCTTTTCCAGCCTGACCCTATGTCACACGAAGCTTTCACGTGGCGGGAATATTCCTGGCAAAAAAACAAAGGGTGAATGTAAACATTTGGAGACTATAACCGGAATTCGTGGACATCCATTTCTAGCTGCCACACTCCCTCCAAGTACCACACAAATCAAGAGAAGAGAGTAAAGAGAGATTCAAGAGAGAGAGATAGTTAACAGAAGTGAGTAGTGAGGTAAAAAGAATAGTAGTAATATGGAAGGACAACAATAGAGCTTTATTGAATATGACTGGCTAATCACAAAGAGTGAATGTATCTGTGCCAGCCATTGAGAACGATCATTTTGACCAATATCACCAATTGTCTCCACGATTCATTGGTTCTCACCTAACATTCCGAGGACCCCAACCAGGAATACAGCAAATCTACATCTCCCCATGTATCTGGCCTAAACTAACTACTGTGAATTTCATTGACTGATGAAACCATGTTTTCGTTTGACCAACACCACCACTAGCTGTCTCTTTTCCAACCCGATCAATCCTACGTCAGTCAGCTAACATTGCCCGTTGGTCAGGGAAGGCGTTGGATGGCTAGGGATGGATGTGTAACAAATGTCCTAACCATCTCAACCGATACGGCTGCTTAACAACCTCGTCCATTGAATTCCCCTCCTTGCCTAACCTAAACATTGCTCACCCTATTACACCAACCACTTAACACGGGATATAGAGAGCAGACACACCTATGATCAAAGACAACTAGTGGGCCATTTTATATCTTCCAATCTCCATGGCCATGTATCACAGCCAGCCAAAAGGGAGGACAGAGAGAACAAACTTCTGAGCAGTACACAGACCTCGTTTCGTCGACAGCCAGCAGGCCGATATCACGTCTACTAAGCGAGAGATGACGTAAGTTGTCAGGCATATGCCAAACGAGCCTTTTGTATCCGTGCTGAGATTTCGTCGGCGACCAACCCACTGGTGTTGGCTGGTGCAACCTCCCCAAATAATCGAAGTAGTCAACACGCTCAATTCGGTAATGTTCCCAACAATCCATGGAAATTAGTTCATAACCTATCTAACCTACATCTAAGTGAACTTAAGCTGCACGTACTACCACTCGGTTTTAATTTTCATATTCCAAGAAAATATGTGACAGAAACGATGTAGAAAGCCAGTTTGAGAAACTATATAGTCAATTATAACTGAGTTGAAGCCAATTCATGAAGAAAGACACAGATGTAGTCCAGTCCTGTACGTCAGTGTTTCAATGGTAGGAATGCTCACCAACCCCCCACACAAGTGCTCCAGGTTCGATTCTTGGTCGAAGTACACACCTTAACCTCACCTAGCCGATTATAAACCTGGTAAAATATAGAGGATTGAAGGTGAGGCTAACAACCTTACTTCGTAAAGCAAAACAACACCATGGTGGCTACTGAAACATCAGAAACTACACTTTGAAGCTCTGTATTCCACTCAGAACGCGAGGGAATAAAAACTAAACATGAAAAAAAAGCGCAACAGAAAAACTTATGAAAATGCACTAACTTGTGTAAAATTAGAGACTAAAATAAGACGATCTTTCATAGGTACATTATTTATAGTAGTACTGTTCATTGCTTTGTTCAGACATGGTCGTTTGGGAAGTTTTGCGGTACTCTGTATACCAGAAGATGTTGCCGACGACGACCCTGATGACGATGAGTGTTTATGAAATAAACGTTTTAACATGAAATAGAGTGTGTTAAATTTTCCTGACAATCGGATAAATTCACCGGAATTCTTTTGATGAATATCTTCACTAGCTGAATTGGAGGTATTTAACAATTGCATTAAGTCTTCTGTCAACTTCGACGGTAACTATATATTCATTATAAAACAAGGGAGTATAAAAACACAATCACACTAGTAGTAATGAGGAAAATACAAGGAGGAATAAAATTATCGTATTGTGGTGAGAGCAGGCTGCTAACCAATTGGTAGACATTAATCTACGTCAAGGTTCAGGTCACTAATATTGGCCGTGAGAAAATATGAACAAGGCTGATTCAACAACCAATCACAGCAGACTTAAACGTGGGCAAATATGATTCGTAGATAGATGGCTCCACTTTCCGAGAAATCTCGGAAACAAGCAATCTGAAGACTGCGTTCGTCTACTTCAATAAGCTATGATAATGTACATGAAATACATATAAATACGTGCTGATTTCCCTAATAAAATGATCTGTTGTCTGGCCCTTGTCTTCTGTTGTTACAGTATATTCAATAATTAATTTGTTTATAGGATGGAAAATTCCCATTGTAACATATAGAAAATCAGAACAAGTGGTGATTCAGCGAAGAGACTCTTTTCAACAAGGAATTTATTATCAAGGCGTACAATCGCATATATATGGTTTTTTTTAAGAAGTTATATCCAGTGAGGGAATTGAATCATAGATGTGAATGCATAAAATAATAATAATAATAATAATATGAAGTTCAATTAAAACTAAATTGTTTGTGATTATGATCATAGGTAAATGTCAAGTGGCAAAGCAAATTAACATCATATATATAGAATAATTCATAGGATGGATAGAACTTGGAGTACAATTAGAGGATTAGTAGGTAAATCGAATAAAAGAAAAAACGTTACATTATCAAATTTCATACAATATTCTACTAATCCTATAATTATGCACCCCCTCCTACTAACATCTATACACCTTATGTATTATTCTATTCACAGGAAACGTACATGGAATGGACAACTAATTAAATTTTACAGTTGGGTGCCTATTCCCAGGAAAAGAAACTTAATTCATTCACTCTGCTTTAGAATAAGGAAAATTTGTAGTTCTGATTGCTTTGACTCAGAACTTGACTTCTTAAAAGCCACACTCGCAGAAAACGGTTACCCTAACCGATTTATTGACAGCAATATGAAAGATAAGCAGTCTAAACAGGTCACCGACTCAGCTCCAAAGAAAACCCTAATTCATGAACTTGGAATTCAAAGGAGATCAAGCTTCAGATATGCTCAAAAACTGTCTTTCTAAATCAGTCAGTAAGACGTTCTTTGCAGAAGAATTGCAAATGACCTTCATCATCTGTAAGTTGTTCTCCATCTCTGTAAAAGATAAGCCCCTTCGTCTGACCGCCTCCATGTGCACCTATCAGTCCACCTACTCTTGTGGAGTAAGGTACATTCGCCGGATACGAGAACATATTGCAGCTTGAGTTTTACAAGGGAGAAAGGAAGTGTGTGTGCGTAGCTGTATTCTGGAACACGTGATCGACTTCTGTCAATCGGTCAACCCTTACCATGATTTCAAGATCATATATAGAATTCATGCTAACTTCCCGCGTTTTCTTCGTTATAGACTTCTAAAGACAGCTGAGGCCTTGGCAATTCATGACTTTAAGCCAGCCACACTTTTGTGTACAAAAGAAGTATGTACAGTGCCTACTTCTGCCTTGGCCGTAGAGGGATAGACATTTATTTATTTATTTTCTTTATTTAGTTATTCTAGGTACTTTTCCCTTATTACTACGATTATTATTATTATTATTGCTATTCTCACTCTGAATCTATTCCACTTGACCCACTAGACATTTTAAACCCAAAATTATTAATTTTTATATTTTTTATTTTTACAATATTAAATTCTATGTTATCAAATTTCACACCATGTTATGTAACATTTTATATTCGTCTACTAATCTCATAATTATGTACTCCTTTCCAAAATCTATACACCTTATGTATTATTCTATATATGACATTAATTATTTTGTCACTTGACATTTAACTATGATTATATAATCACAAATATTTTAATTGCATTTCATACTACTACTACTACTATTATTATTATTATTATTATTATTTCATGTATTCCTACCACTGATTCGATTCCCTTACCGGATATAACTTCTTTAAAAAAATAATAATAATAAAATGATAATAAATTCGTTGCTGAAAAGAGTCTCTTCACCAAAAATCTAATAATTGAAGATATTCAATATGTTTTTAAAAAAACAACACCACTAAACACACTGTGAGCAAATTACCCGATTATCTATAGAATTTTTTCCTGTATCAAATTGAGTTAAATATCTGCTTAACAAATATGGATGATTGTGTAGTTTACGAAAAGCTGTTATAATCGATAGAATAGTATTATGATGCTTTGATGATGACGCCGACGACGATGATGATGATGATGATGGGAAGGCGAAAACATCTTCAATAGCTTCATCAAAATCTTCATCGCTTCCGTCAACATCTTCGTCTTCTTCAAATTTACTTCGACGATGATTTGCATTAAATGTTTTATTCATCCAATCGGTGAGAACACATTCTAAGTCTGTTTGCAGTTTACTTGGACGACAAAATACGATATGTTCAGCTGTGGATATAATAAGATAAAATAAAAAGTAACTAATATATATTCAAGACGGAGGTGATCAAGATAACCGAGCAACCAACCAACAACACCAACATTAACAACAACCAGCACCAATCACCATCAACAGGAGAGATTTAACCGAGGTTACTTCTCGCTTTCACTTATCAGGCCAGGAAGCACAGTTTCAACCATAAACCAGAGGAACTTATGTCTGTCTGTCTGTCTGTCTGTTTCGACATAGAACTTTGCACAGATGTGCACCAGTTCAAGTCGTCACATTCCCTCCATGTAGCACACAAAGCAACAGAAGAAAGTAGAAGAAATGCCATAATAGAGACAGTAAACAGAGGTGTGTGACAAATGAATAGAAATAACGAAAAACAATATAATTTCATTGGAAATCATAAGTCACAAGGAGTGGATGCATCTGCGCCAGCCAGCCATTGAGAACGATCACTTTGAGCCATATCAACAATTGTCACCAGTCATTGGTTTTTAACGTCCTGAAGACCCCGACCAGTCAGGAAGCCAGTCTGCATCTTCCTACGTGACTTAAACTAACTGTTTTGGATTTCATTGACTGTTGAAACCATGTTTTGGTGTGACCACCGCTAGCTCTTTTTCAGCCTATCCCTATGTCAGTCAGCTAACATTTCTCGTCGACGAAGGCGATGACTAGGCAAACGTAACACATATCCTAACTATCTCAGTCGATGTAGCTTCATAGACTTGTCGATTGATTTCCCCTCCTTACCTAGCCTACCACTCGACCAATGCCTAACCTTAATATTGCTCACCTCACCATACCACTTTTCCAACACGGGGGATAGAACGCAGAAATCGATGATCAAAGACAGCTAGTCGGCCTTTTCAAGTCGTCCACTCTCAATGACCAGGTCTCACAGCCAGCCGAAAAGGAGGACGGAGCGGACTGCTGAGCAGTACACACGCCCTTTGGTCGATAGTCAGCCGGATAACACGTCTACTAAGCCAGAGACGGCGTAAACTAGCATATGCGAAACTAGTCCTCTGTATCCGTGCTGAGATTTCGTCAGAGATCAACCCGTTGAGGTTGATGCCACTTCCCAAGTATATGAAGCGGTCAACGTGCTCTACTACTTCACTCCCTATTTCTAAACTAGGAGTCAGTGTAGTCCAGTTCAGTCCTGTAACATCATCTATTTGACAGCAGGAGCCAATCGCATGCCAAACATTCGAAAATTGCTGCCCAGTTCAAGGTGTTCAGAAGACTACATTTTGTCAGTGTCTTCACCTAGGCGGGAGGACTATATCATCTGCATATTCTAAGTTAATGAGATTATTCCCTGGTAGGAAGTCAATCCCTGAGTCTCCACTGGTACATCTATGATGACATTGAATAGAAATGGGATAATGGGCAATCCTGACGGACACCACTAATTGTCACCATTTCAGATGACAACTCTCCGTAGGCTCTTTCCTGGCTGGCTGTATGAGTTCGAGTAGAGTGAATGCCTTGATCAGTGAGATGTATTTTCTCGGCATCCCCTTTACAGCCAAGCATCGCCAGGATAACCGATGAAGATGTCAAAGCCAGTCAGAATCGAAAAGGCTAGATACGCCTTCATCAACCTAAAAGCAATTTGGAAATCTTCTGCACTGCACTGCACTCAGCCAACCGGCCAGCATAAACAACAAGATTTGGATTCTGTTTAACACAAATGTCAAGTCAGTCAGTCAGTTCTTCTATACGGGTCAGAAATTTGTACTGCATATCACGGAAGGGATTTCCAACGAGTTGCAGACTTTTATCAACAGCCGCCTCCACACTGAATATCAAATGGCCAGCCAGTCGGCCAGAAAGAATTAGCGACAAGAAATTCTGCCTGGCGACGAACCAACCAAGAGCTGATTGCTCAACAGTTATGTAGGAAAAAAATGGAAGTGGATAGGGCATACTTTGAGGAGGCCCTCGAATGACATCACACACACAATGCAGGCCATCATTCGAGTGGAATCCCAATGGGAAGTGATGAGTAGGTCGGCAGTGTTACAGTGACATGGAGGAGATCGTGTAACGATAAGAAGGAAATGAGGGATTATCGGCAATCGAGAATGGCAGAAAATAGAAGAAAGTGAAGATGTGATGTTGAAGCCTTACACAATCCACTCGGAACCGAAGGGAATAATAGTACATATTTAAAATTTGCAATTTATACAAATCACCATGTGGAATTGCATCATACATAGTTTCCTTTGAAAACGGAAATTATGCACACTACAATTATGTGTGATCTACTCACCGACAAGTTCGTTTAATTAGCCAGCCAGAATCCAGGGGTGTAATGGGAGATTGTAGAGACGTGATTCATTGGCTTAAACATTCTACTTTCGGTCCCGGGTTCGAGTTCCACACTCCCCTCCTACTTCAGCCTAGTAATAATAATAATAACAGCTTTATTCCAAACACTATTTGTGGTACAGGTATGGAATTTTCAGCGTGCATTACAATATATTGCATCTAATTACCTCATAAATTTTATAAGACTTTTAAAATCAAAAAGTAACACCCAAAAAAAGAAGATAAAGAAAAAGAAACAGCGTTGCGTTTACATTTTCAACAATCCACCACAAAATATGAAGTATAAAATTAGTGTGCAATAGAAGATGTGAACAACAGTGTAATAGTAACGAGGAAAGGAAAACAAAAACCAATGGGACTATTTGTTAGAGTGCCGTAGTAAGTTGATCGTGTTATACCTAACGGATTTCTCATCACATAGCAGCTGTGCCAGATATAGTATTGTGGAGTTTTTGTACTTGGTAGTCCTAGCATATAGCCGCCTATAGCTGCTTCTAGTTCTACCAGATGAAATGCAAAGAGAAAGAGCTGCGTATAGAGAGGATTCTCAGGGTCTGACAATATTGTATTCGCTAGTTTCTTACATGACATAATATGTTTATCCACAATAGTGTTAACCACTTGGTTTAACGATATCCCCCCACTTGCCCCTACTGACGGCTTTTAGTGCCTGCCCTTCTCAGCAACGCAAGGTCTTTCTTAAGTAGTCCAGGAAAGATTAATGGGGAGCAGTAAAGACGGGGGATGGGTAGAATGCAAGAATTGACAAACTGAGAAAGCAAAGACTGCTTTATGCCAGATTGCCTAAATTTCCTAATTTAGAACGTTAAGCGAAACATCTTTCTAGTAACTAGCAAGATGTGGGAGGAATACGGCTCATAACCCAGTAATGGGTGATCGAGTAATACCTAATTAACTAACTAACTAACTAACTAAGGAGGAGAACACGTGGAATATTTGATTAGAAGATTGTGAAAAATAAAACAACCTTTTTTGTAAAACAATAAACAACAACAAACAAAAACAAAAACTTACTTTTATTAGTCAACTTTGGTGCAATCACATCAGATGTACGCCTTAGAAAAAAGCTATTCATTAGACGAATCAATTTTGCTGATGGGCTTTCTAAATCACTGCTATCCCAATCGTTATCGTCATCACCACCGCCAATAACAGCAGCGGCCATCGTAGCTGTATCATAATTCCAAAAATCGTCATCATCACCGTCATTGTCATCCTCTTCACCTGATGATTCATGAGGAGTAACAGTAGTACCAGCAGAGGTAACAGAAGACTTTTCACTTTGTAATTTACGACTATTCAATAAAGGGATAACAAATTGACGACGAAATTCTTCTAAGCTGGAAGTTAATCGTCCAGGAACACAAAAATTAGCTAACGACCATAGTTCATTTAAATGATTTTGAAGTGGAGTACCCGTTAGTAGTAATCGTCTATTGGCGCGTAATTTACAAAGTGCCTATAAACAATAATAGTGTAAAGCAAAACACATGAAGGATTACTGGAGAATTATGTAAGAGATTAAAGTTCTTAAGTTATATATGTTAAAAGCTGCTTTAGACAGGTGAAAGTCAAATTACAATGTAGTGTAGTAGTCTCCTTACAGGCGAAAAAAGCAAGTGGACGGTAAAAGTGGAGAAGATAAGACTTCAAGTTAATAAAGATGACATAGAGAAGATGGAGGTGATGAAAACCACCAACCAACTACTATTGTAACAACAGAAGACAAGGGCCAGGCAACCGATCGTTTTATTATGAAAATCAATACGTATTTATACATATTTCACATACATTATTATAGCTTATGCAAGTAGACAAGCGCAGTTATCTGATTGGTTGTTTATCAGAAGTTAGGCAGACAAACGCAGGCTTCTGATTGGTTGTTTCAGGATTCCTCGACAAATAGAGTTCTCTATCTGCGAATCATATTTTGCCACGTTAACTTTGCTGTGATTGGTTGTTGAATCAGCCTTGCTCATATTTTCTCACGGCCTGCTCTCACCACACTACTACCACCACCAACAACAACAAGCCTCAGTTATCATTAACTGGAGAAATTCGAAGGAAGCCACCTCTCTGTTACTTATCTAAGCAGTATCTTTGCAACTACAAGTTGTAAACAAAACGCTCAGACTAAGGCACAAAGAGAGACACTGTGTAACCTGGCAACCTCAATCACCAAATCACCGCTGTACTCAGATAGACCATTTGGCGATAGGGTGTCGTTAATGAGGATTAGCAGAAGACTACCACCGCTTCTGGAACACATGTATAAACTCACACCCTGATTCACGCGCGTCTATGCTTGTGATTAAATGGACATAAGAAATTGACGGCAGCGGAACAGTTACGTCCCCAACTAGATCGAGACTCTAAGTCCCTATTTAAGGAAGAAATAGCTAAACGAGTACCTGAGGTCGACAGTAGGACTCCTCCTGAGGTAGCCTGGCACAACATACAGTTAGCTGTAGACACAGCTGTAAAAGCTATTAATAACTTGAAACCTAAAGTTAGTAAGAGCCATTGGATTTTTACTACCACACCAGAAATGATTGATGCGAGAAGACTCATTCCAGCGAGCTCCGATTATGATGAGGAGCGAAAGCTACCCAAACACAAACCAACAAGAAGTCTTCGCAACGACCGTGAACAGTGGTGGGCGACAAAAACGAAAAAGATGGAAAAGGCATCGGTGATTGGTAACACTCGACAACTATTTAGGCTTATCAGGGAAACAGGTGATAAAAGCCAAATGATAAGTCAAACAATCTCTGAGAAAAATGGTACCATAATTAGCTCCCAGGATAGACGATTGAACCGCTGGGAAGAACACTATGAGGAGCAGTTCAATCGGCCTACAGCCAGGCTCAACCTGCCGAACATCCAACACCTCCCTGAATAGGATATAGACACAGGTCCTCCGTCCCTAACTGAGATTACTAAAGCTGTCACCAATCTGAAACTAGGCAAAGCAGAAGGGACCTAATGGAATGACTCCAGAGGTATTTAAGCACGGTGGAGACAGTTTACTCTCTACTTTAACTGAGGTGCTAGGAAGCGTCTGGGAATCACAGGAAGTCCCGTCGGGTTCGTGTAAGTCACTGATTATCCCCGTATACAAGACGGGAGACAAGTCTTCCTGTGATAAACACAAAGGGATAAGCTTGACTGATATGGTATCTAAGGTTCTAGGCTCAGTAACAATGTGTAGACTAAGTGGTGCTCGGGAGGAGCAAACACGAGAGAACCAGTCAGGATTTAGATCAGGAAGAGGGTGTATTGATCATATCTTCACCCTCCGACAGATTCTAGAACATAGGAATTCCTACCGGCGTCCAACAATCATTATATTTCTTGACCTAAAGACGGCATTCGATTCTGTCAACCGAGAGGTACTCTGGCGATGCCTGGCTGTGAAAGGAATGCCAAGAAAATACATCTCACTGATCAAGGCATTCACTCTACTCGAACACGTGCAGCCAGGCAGGTAAGAGCCTACGGAGAGTTGTGATCTGAAGTGGTGACAATTAGTGGTGTCCGTCAGGAATGCCCACTATTCCCATTTCTCTTTAATTCAATCATAAATGTAGTAATGGGATTAACCCCAACCCACTTCAGCCACTCAGGAATTGATTGACTTTTTACCACCAGGTAATAATCTCATTGACTTAGAATATGCAGATGATATAGTCCTCCCGCCTAGGTGAAGACATTGACAAAATGTAGCGTCTTCTGAACACCTTGAGCTGATCAGCAATTTTCGAATGTTTGGCATGCGATTGGCTCCTGCTGTCAAATGTAAAAGGATGTTACAGGACTGGACTACAGTGATTCGCTCGTAGCTTACAGATGCGGAGTGAAGTGGATGGTGGAGCACGTTGATCACTTGACTTATTTGGAGAGTTACATAGGCCAGCCCAGAGGGTTGATCGCTGACGGAATCTCAGCACGGATACAGAAGACTCCTTTGACATATTCCTGCGAACTTACGCTATCTCTCGCTTAGTAGATGTGATATCCGGCTATTGATCAAAGGACATACATACTTCTCAGCAGTCCTCTCCATCCTCCTTTATGACTGGCTATGAGACATGGCCACTGAAAGTAGAAGACATAAAAAGGCCGGATAGCTGTGTTCTATCTGCCGTGTTAAGTGGTATAATACGGTAAGAGATATTGAGGTTCTTCCATATTACTATTCCATTTCCCTCACTCACACTTCTGTTGATTATTTCTCTCTATTTTGAATCTCTCTTTGTTGTCTTCTCTTGATTTGTGTGGTACATGGAGAAAGGGTGGCAAGTTCAACTGCTGCACATCTGTTCAAAGTTCTACGTTAAAACCAGTCGGTCAATCAGTTTAATCCTACGTCAGCTAACACCTTTCGATGAGAAAGAAGACACTTCAGCATGAATAACTCGCGCCTTGGCCATCTCAATCGACGCAGCTTTGTAACTTCATCGATTGAATTCCCCTACGCTTCCCAGCCTAGTGATCTACATTGTCACATGGGATGATATAATAATAAGGTACTGTCCACATAAACGATCTTGGATAGCCGAGGGTGGGTAAACTCTGTTCTTCCTCTCGAAATGTTTTCATATGGCCAAGCATCCATTGCCTCTACCAAACAAGTTCTACTAGCTGTTTTCACAAAAGTGGAAGAGCGACTGCGAACGTTTGGAGCCTACCACTAGACTGAGAAGCTGGGAAATCCTGATTTCAATGCTATATTCTACATGGCATCCAGAATCCGAATGGCTCAAATAGCGTATGAATCTGTCTTGGTCACCGTTGACAATCGTTACAAAGCTCCACCTCCTTTTAGATAAGCGATAGGACCCAGCATAAAATAGCATATCATCCTTTCTCACGAATTGTGTGATTTACCTTGTCAGTGGAGTTACCCATATTGTGATTTAGTGTGTGTATGATCAATTCATCATCTTTTGTCTCATCTTGGTCTTTGTCGGACCACCAACCAATCAGAATGGATATTCCAAACCAACAAGAACAGTCCATTTTCACGGTTGTGAACCAGCTGTATTGTCACCAATTAAATATATAAATTCACGAAAAATCCCCATCCGAACGTTAGTAGACAGAAGACCAATAGTTCAGCGAAGAGTCTCTTTTCGGCAGCGAATTCATTTCCACAGCTGTACCACTTCTATGTGTGTATATATCAGTTCACCTGTTGCTGTGAAGCTAAGTACACCGGTCGTTCGACGCGCATCCTGTCAAAAAGGGTCAAAGAACACTATCCAGCATGGCTGCAGAAAGGAAGTAGTGTAATAATCGGACATCTCTTCACCCCTGGTCATTCCATCTCAACAAACGTCTCCTGCTTCAAAGTGATTTATAAAGTGAAGAACAACCTACCAAAGACAATACGTTTCTGTTTTCGTTGCATTGCTAAAACCCTAGCCATTCAGTTGGAAGAACCAGAACTATGCAGTCACAGATCATTATTAAATGGTGAATATGTGAAATGAGTGAGATGGAGTCATATATTGAGAATATAAATTATGTCAGTAATAATGAAACCGACTAGTATAAATGGGAAATCCGATAGAGCTGATAAATTCTTACAACTGAGGGTATAAATTATGAAGATAGCACAACAGAAGCGGGTGAAACGATATTTGCACCCTGCAGTGGTCATATGCAGGAGAAGGTCCGTCGAATTGTTTGTGACTAATGGGTGGCTGGCTAGAGGATATCACTTTCATGGTTGGTGTAGTGAAAGTCTTCTTTAGTGAACTTCAAATTCTTCTCCTCTTCAATATATGGGAGGTGGCGTCCATCGTTAAATTTAGGCTCATGCATAGTATTTTCTTTGTCATTGAACCCGCATCGTCCTCATTGTGGTCTTCGTTTCATGTCCTCCGCAGAAACTGTCAGCTACCCATTTCCCACCATGATCATTCCGAGAATTTAGACCTCTTCTTTTAATCAGTTGAATGATTCACACTCATCTGATATGATAAGCGGGTGAAATTTTGTTGTCTGGCTGTTCCGTGAATGTATTCTGTAAAATGACGTTTCCATAATCCTATAGTGTCTGATCGTTAATTCTACATCCAGCAATGGAGTCTTTGATTCGTTTCCTGCTTCCAGTTTAATTCATTTCAAGGATGAGAGTTAATCAATACCTGATAGAGGAAATGTCTATCAGAATCACTATGAAAAGCTGTAAAAGTGTCGTCGGTATACCTTCTATGCATCAGTATTCTGTTTACAGGTGATTTTACAATTCTGTTGTCGAAACTAGGCATAAAGCATTCTGCCAAATTCGTGTTGTTAGTAGAGACCATGGCAACTTCACTATATGCTGAGATTTTGTAAATTCCGGGTTAATAATACTTTGATAAAGGTATTAGCAGCAGCATTAAATAGCGGAACGTCAGTAAAAACAGTAACATCGTTTTGTTTTTCATTCACTGGGATATACGTTAGGTAGTATAATAAGGTAAGTAATGTTGACGTTAGGCGTAGAGTGTTGGACAAACAGGGAAAATCAATCGACGAGGCTATAAAGTTACACAGATTGAGATGTCTAGGTCACACGTGCTGCGCATGCCTAACCATCACCTCCCCCACCCGACGGGCATTACTAGCTGATATAGGTGCAGGTTGGAAAAGGGTAAGTGGTGGCCAAACAAAAACATGGCCTCATCAATCCATGAAATCATTGACAGTTAAAGTGAGTCAGGTAGGGTAGGAGATGCAGACTTCCGGGTTGGGGCCCTCGGGACTGACTCTAGGAATCAATGACTGGAGACAATAGGTGAGTGACATGGCTCAAAGTGATCGTTGTCAATGGCCAGCGCAGATGTATTTAGTCTCTGTAATCTTTCATATTTCTTTCTACCATCACCCATTCTGTTTCGCTCTTATACTTGTCAAACTCTATTGATTCTCTTCACTCATCTACCTTTGTGTGCTATTTGGAACGTGGTGAATCTAACTGCTGTACTTCGTGCCAAGTTCTGTGTTGAATCCAGACAAAGAAACCTTTATTATAACGGGTCTATTGAGTTCAGTTATAACAATAAGACTTCAAGTCAAAGATGCCGTGGATGGATGGATGGATAGCCTTTTAAGACAACTGCCTAGCCTATATCGGTTTAGGTGGCCTGGCTGAATCCTAACCCTCGAACAAACTATGAGATTTTGTGTGACGCATCTCTAGGCGGTACCCATAACGTATCAAATTTGTGATTTAATAATAGTAATTACAATAATAATAATAATAATAAATAAAGTACCAAACTGTTACTGTCTTAAATTAAAAAAGCAGTAGAAGAAGGGAACTTACCATCGTCGTATTGATGTTAGAATTTTTCAACCGATGCCCTTCATCGCATACAACCATATCTAAATCAGTGATAGTATACACATCATTAGCGTGTTGTAGAAACATTTCATAAGACATAAGAAGAACTTGAGGACGATTGATAGCCGGTGTTGTTAAATAATTCTAGAGGGAGGATGAAAGACAGAAAGCAAATTTACTTTTATCGACGAAATCATCAACTAGGCTGTATATACATCCGTGGGAAAGTTTCAGAACTATTTCCAATCGAGGGTAGGAATGACATCGAATAACAAGACTACGAATAAGGATTATAATAAGCAGAATAATAACAAAATTAAACATGAAGTTTGAATAAGAAAAATAGTCGGATAATATTTATTGGGCGAATTGACTGTTTACGATTGCCACGGTAAAGAAAAGCGTTTGACATGCCTTTTTTGGAATGTATAGAGTTGGTTTGTATTTTTTGAATCGCTAATGTTTCAGCTATGCGTACACACATATCTTGATCTCAGTCCTTTTGAGAAGTTTGATTGGACCTCTCGTATAGTACTTTGAAGAACAATTCAAATGGAGCTGAGTTATCTAAGTTCACTAGATATTCTGTTATCTAAGATCACACACCTAGACGAATTAATGTGTAGAATTTGGTATGATTTCTCCATTGACATCCCCCAATGTGAGATTGGCGTCGGTGGCGAAGCGGTTAACACGCTTACCGACTATGCACACGGTCCGGGGTTCGATCCTCGGCCACCGACACACTCCTTTACCTTGCTAAGCCAGAAAAAATGCCGGTAAAGAGGAAAAGTTGGGCATTAGGCTAGCAACCCCCTCCTGTAAAAATAATCACCACTGCTACAGAAACTTCAAGCCACTAGCTTGAAGTGGCCCTATGTTTCACTGGGAACGTGAAAGAAAACAAGAACAACACCTGCTACCTTGACATGGTGGTCACCGGGCTTGCAAATCGCAATGACCCAACAAGCTACACTGACTGGAACTAATGTTCCTTAAAGTCCTACCATGGCAGGAAGATTGTGAGGATAGCGATTAGACTAAAAACAGTTGCCAGCATAGTGTACAATGTTTTGTTTTTTACACTATGCTGAGGATTTGTGGGTGAAGTCGTACTGCTGGGGAACAGAGATGTAACAGCAGTAATATGTTTCTCTCAGATGACCAGTATTCCAGTCACCTATGCTGTCTCTCCACATTAAAGAGAGGGGGTTAGCAACGGTCTACCCTAAAAATTGTACATCCCGACTTATCCCACGGTGGTCCGTAACCGGCGGTAATTTTACTAATACGGCACCAAATCAAAAAGCCAGTCCATACAGGCCGTGTGTAACCGGCCTCAAATAGTGTATCCCTGGGCTCTACGGTCACGCAAGAATAATTCTATTTCTATTTCTGGTACCCCAAGAATGAATCAACTTCCACGGTGTGGATGTGGGCAGCCTGGAAGTAACAACCACCCACACAGTCCCAAAAGCACACGAAGTCTTCCTGAGCATCATTCTTCTTTACCCACAATCACCCTCATCATTTGCTTCCCTACACTTCCAAAAATCAGTCAGTTATTCATCAACAGTGAATGATGCCAGGAGTAAAACTCGCCAAAAAAAAACATAATGAGACTATAAAGTAAAATATATACTTACCTTTACCGAATGATTTTGATCAACACAGTATATAGGTAAGCGTTCACGACCTAACCATTTAGAAAATTCTTTCGACCAATTCTACATAGAAATATAGAAAAGAAGCAAAATCATGCCATCTATTATTATTATTTCTTGAGTTCCGAGTGCAAAATACGGCCTGAACAGTAGACATCCCCATGAGACTTTCAGTTCTTTAAGATGACTTTCAGCTGGCTGGCTCCACACCTGCCTGCAAGCTTGCATTCTCTCCTCTTCACATAACCTCTTCCATGTCACCCTCGGATGTCCAACCTGTTGTTTACTATTCGGTTTCAACTACACGACCTACTTTGGCGTGTGATATTACTCCGTGGTCTCATTAGCGTACGTTCACAATCTACCTTCATATTTTCCCTTGAATATTTTGTTGGCGATTAGATTTTGAGCTGTTTTGGTATCAGAGTCAGTGAAATATCAGTCAATGAAATCCACAGCAGTTAGTCTAGGCTCTGGTCATGTAGGGAGGTGTAGACTAGCAGCTGGGGTGCTCGAGATGTCAAGAACCAATGAAGGCTGGAGACAATTAGTAGTGATATGGCTATAAATGATCGTTTTTTGATTTTTTTTTTGATTTTTGATTTACAGCTTGATTCCACACTGTATTTACTGTACAAGTATGGAATTTTCAGCATGGATATCGGTAGCCCAAATTTTGCAGGCCGACCATAGATATCAGGTGTGCGTCGGTGCGGGCTCGAACCCCGGACCATGTGCATGGTCGGTGAGAGTCCTAACCACTATGCCACCAACGCACAATGGCAGACGCGGGTGCATCCAATCCTAGTGATTACGAATATTTAGAAAGCAGAAAGATGGAGTGAAGTAATATTTACTTTTCAATTAGATCCTCATCTCACTCTGGCTCTACTCTAATAAACACGTATAGCACCTTTATTACAATACGCAACAGTTTACCAATCAAGTGGCACTGATATGTTTGTTAACAACAATTAAACAGTGTCAAAATGTCAATAGGTTGGTAATAAACGAATAAAATCAACACACAATTAAAAGATAGAAATGGTTAGAATAAATTAATTTTACAAGGATAACACATAAATTAAAGATGAAGTGGTCAAAATAAATAAAACTAAAATAATTTGAACAATTATAATTTTTTTATAGTTTTAAAGGTTTAATGGGAGGGGCGAAGTAGTCCGGTTAATACTTTCATGTAACGATGGCCACGATAAGAAAAGTGGCTGTACAAATTTCTTTTGAACACACACACAGGTTTGGCTTCTTCAGGTGGATTTTTATTGCTTCAGCTGTCTGTAGAAGACGAACTCGTAAGGCAAAATTAAGATTACTAGAAATGCAATAGATAATTTTAAATGCTGTATCAGTATCAACAAGGTGGGCTAAAACAGAACTACGAATATATCTTGTTTATCCCTTGCTCAACCACGTTGGATGATGTTCGCAAAGACGACGATGAACTTGCCTGATTATACGCCCAATGCAGCTTGCTCCGCAGCTGCAGTCAAACTGGTAGGTACACATAGAAGAGGCAAATTTAGGTAGTTTATCCTTATTTCTCGAACATAGAATACGGGTAGTTGTGAAGAGACAACGTACCTCTGCTGCATAATAAGCTCGTTAAACTGCATTCTTCAGTCGTTGTGTTATTAATTCGCTGATGTTGTCACCGAGGGACTGCAGTTTTATGAACATTAGTTTTTTTTTCGGAACTGTTGCCATAGTGACTCTGTTGTTCTTCCATATTAATATTCCTTTCCCCTCACTCACATTTCTGCTTATCATCTCTCTATTGATGGATTTCTCTTTAGTCACTTCTCTTGCTTTGGAGGGAGTGTGACAACTCGAATTGGTGCACATCTGTGCAAAGTTCCACGTTGAAACCAGTCAGTGTCAGGGTTTTTCGTAACTTATCCTTTTTCTGGCTGGCCATCTGATCTCCACAGTTACTGAGTGAAGACACCTATTGATGAACGTTTGCATTACCCCCAATTGGAAGTGTTTCTCGTGACTCTTGTGCCAAATCTCCAGACTATACAGAAGCACTGAATGACATGACATTAGTACCAAACAAGATTCGGATATTCTTCTTCTTCCTCTTCGTGATAAGTGCTGTAGATCTCCATATTGATTTGAGACTAAGAAACGACTCCCCTGTCTTTTTCTACATCCTGGTTGGCTTTTATATCTTTATCCACACCACTTGTAGAAGAAACAAAGGCAAGCTCGCAGACTACTCAGCTACTGGGATCTGATCTAATACGTCCATGATATTTAGAGCAACCACCAGCAAATGTTATAGACGAGTAACTAACTGTTCTCTTACATCACCTGCTGGACGCCGATGATTACAACTTCCCACCAGAGCTCCAGTCGCTAGTGAGTACTAGATTAAAGTGTTGGTTTGCAGGAATTTGATTGGTTACAGTTTTTTTAACATGAGCTGAAATCAATTTGGCAGAAGTTGGAATTCATGGACCATTGGATCAGGTCCTAGTTGATTGGATGATCTACGAGATCATCTTGTCATTGGGGGGGGGTTTAGGGCTCAAACCTTGGAGGGCTCATAATAGTGCTGAAGAGTCTCAAACTAGGACGAAACATGTATCCAGTACTTTCTTATTTTCTAATAGTCCTCTAACTGATATCAACACGTGACCAAAACTCTAACTTATCAAATCCCTAGAAAACGCGAGTCATTAACACAGCTGTCTGTCTGTATTCAACATAGAACTTGGCACCGAAGTGCACCAGTTCAACTTGCCACGTTCCAAATAGCACACAAAGGTAGACAAGAAGATGAGTGAAGAGAATCAATAGAGTTTGACAAGTATAAGAGTGAAACAGAATGGGTAATTGTAGAGAGGAATATGAAAGATTAAAGAGACTGAATACATCTGCGCTGGCCATTGACAACGATCACTTTGAGCCATGTCACCTATTGTCTCCAGCCATTGATTCCTAGAGTCAGTCCCGAGGGCCCCAACCCGGAAGTCTGCATCTCCCTCCCTACCTGACTCACTTTAACTGTCAAGGATTTCATAGATTGATGAGGCCATGTTTTTGTTTGGCCACCACTTACTCTTTTCCAACCTGCACCTATATCAGCTAGTAATGCCCGTCGTCGGGGAGGCGATGGTTAGGCATGCGCAGCACGTGACCTAGCCATCTCAATCTATGTAACTTTATAGCCTCGTCGATTGATTTTCCCTGTTTGTCCAACACTCTACGCCTAACGTCAACATTACTTATCTTATTAAACCATCTAACGTGAGACAGAGATCGCAGACATCTATGATCGAAAGCAGTCAACCTTTTCATGTCATTAACACAGCTACACTTATTACAATAGAAATTATAAGAGAAATATAAAAGGGAACTCCTTCACAGAACCCCACCGCACCCCACGCCTAAAATGTATCACAAATTACCTGAACAAGTGTACCGGGTGTAACAATTAAACAACGTCGAATAACTGGTCGATTACCATATGGTCCTTGTTTAATTAATAACCATATCACAGCGATCGCTTGAACTGTTTTACCAAGACCCATCTCATCTCTTGAAAAATAGTAGAAATAATAATGATAAAAAAAATTATTTTTTTTTTAATATACAAATTGTAATTGATATTAATAAAACAAATTAAATTATTTTAATTAATTAAAGATGACCATTAATACTTACAAAAAAGATTGAGATTAGTAAACAAAGAATGCATTCCTTTCCACTTACGCCTCGGTAGGAACTTGTCCATGCCAAGTAAAATATTAAGCCACATCATCCTGGAGAGAATGAGAGATGCACTGGATCCAGAACTCCGCTCAGCCGACAAGAACAAAGCATAGAATAGCAGTCGAACTCCTACCTCAACAGTTTCATTGACTTTGAAAAGGCCTTCAACAGACTGCTTCAACATTACCGTATGCAGTGCCCAAGTCTTTATCAGCCTCATTCAACAGGTGGCTATATGACAATGTCGCGTGTCAGGTGATCCACACCGGAAAACTCAACGAAGCGTTCGAGGTGAATATAGAAGTGAGACAAGGCTGTCTGTCTATTATCGCCACGGATGATATTCTTAACTGTGGTGGACTGGATTATGCGTCAGACTGTGGGTGGGGAGCCAGGAGACAGGAATACTCTAGACTGACTAATACGAAGACTCTAGAAGATCGAGATTTCTTGCATGGATTATTTATGTCTAATGTCACACAAACTCGAAGACTTGCAGGCAGGCGAAAACTAAAAAACTGGTTGAAGAAGCTGGCAGGCAGCGAAGACAGGACTCTATGTGAACATAAAGAAGGAGGAAGTGATGCAGATAACCAACCAACCAACCACATACTAATAGCAAAAACAACCAGCATCAATCACCATCAACGGAAGAGATTTGACAGAGGTTACCTCTCCTTACTTATCTGGTCAGGAAGCACGGTTTCAACCACAGCCAGGTGGAACGGATGAAGATGTCAAAGACAACTGGAACAGGAAAGACAAGATACACGTTCGTCAACCTGAATTCGGTTTGGAAATCTTCTGCACTAACTCAGAATAAACAAAAAGATTCAGACTTTGAATTGAATTTTTGATTTTCCCGTCGATTGATTGGACCGAAGTGCTCGGTCTCAGGTTGACATGTCGGCTTCTTGTGCAGATGCTTCGACGATGTCTGGGTATTTAATTAGTATACAATTGGTGGATGGTGGCTAGCAGTGGAATCCAGGATGCGCATTTCGTCCTATTTGGGACTCGTCGGTCCAATCAATCGACGGGAAAATCTAAAATTCAATTAAATAATTAATATGACCCGTTGCACAAGAGGTGGCTCTTATGGCCCAAGTGGTCTAATGGATAACGCTTTGGCGTTTGAAACTATGGTTACTGGGTTCGAGCCTCGGTGGGAACATCATCACTCACTGCTGAATGCAGGTACATCCAGCTGGTTGACGAGTCCCAAATAGGACGAAATGCGCATCCTGGGTTCCACTGCTAGCCACCATCCACCAATTGTATACTAAGATTCAGACTTTGTTCAACGAAAATGTGCAGTCAGTTAGTTCTTCTATATGAGTCAGAAACTTGACTCACGCACCACAAAAAGGGTTTCTAACAAGTTATAGACTTTTGTCAACAGCTGCCTTGGCTGGTCCCATACTGAAGATCAAATAACAGGCCAGAAGGAAAATATTATGTATTTCATGATCCACAGGCTGTGAGGAATCGATCTGAGAAGAGCACGTCAGATTTCGTTTGGGTTGTGCATGCATTAATCAAGCATTTATCCCTTGTGCAGGGTATCCGTAAACGCTCATATTTGTGCCAAGCTTGTATTTAAATACATAAGACAATAAGTAGTAATAAAATATCGAGGGAGGTGCTGATCTGTGCCTTTAGGATATAATTCCTCATCAATCACACACGGGGAATGCAGGTATACTAAGCTAAGAATGTAACAACAGAAGACAAGGGCCAGGCAACAGATCGTTTTATTATGAAAATCAACACGTATTTATACATATTTCACATACATTATTATAGCTTATGCAAGTAGACAAGCGCAGTTATCTGATTGGTTGTTTATCAGAAGTTAGGCAGACAAACGCAGGCTTCTGATTGGTTGTTTCGGGATTCCTCGACAAATAGAGTTCTCTATCTGCGAATCATATTTTGCCACGTTAACTTTGCTGTGATTGGTTGTTGAATCAGCCGTGCTCATATTTTCTCACGGCCTGCTCTCACCACAAGGAGGCCCACCAAACAGGACGAAATACGCATTTCCGATTGTACTTTTACTCATCACCACCAACTGTGTGCATCGGTGGCACAGTGGTTAGGACTCTCGCCGATCGTGCACATGATCCGGAGTTCGATCCTCTGTCGATGCACACCTGTTATCTATGGTTAGCCTGCAAAATCTAGGCTACCGATATCACATGCTGAAAATTCCATACCTGTACCAAAAATACGGTGTGGAACCAAGGTGTAATCAAAAAAAAAGATATACCACTTTCATACAGCAGTAGAACTTCAGAACTTTCAGGGAATTACACTCATAAAATTTATTGGGATAAAAGTGGTGTACCGTCAACTTGTTGTCTTTATGTTTCTTGTGTGTAAAGTGACACAAGAACACAAAGTAACATTTTTTATTTGGGATTTTAAAAAAAAAAAACATCTTACAAAGAAATACAACTCACGCCAAGATACACCCATAAATATTTCCTGTGATCGAATCATTTATAGCAACATAAGGTTGATAGCCCATTAAACATTTATACAGAAAGATAACACCATCACGTTGATGAGGTTGTAGAAGTGAAGCGAATTTCGATTCTAAAGCGACATCTACAATAGGCAAACAGTCAGGATTTTGAGACCACTGGAAAAATAAAATTAGAGAAACGAAAGGCATAAAAATTATTCTGATATCATATTACTAATATATATTATAAATTCTCAGCACAAATATACAAAGGCATCAGTGGCATCTGCTAACTTACCTCATCGCTGGCGTACGTATATGATGTACGGTGTGTATTGAGCAGTAGTCCCCTCTGTCCTGCTTTTATCGCTGTGGAACATAGCTGTCTTCCATAGTAAGTGTCTGAATTCTACCTACCGTGTTAGGTAGTATAATAATATAGTAGTTAATACTGAGGTTAGGCGTCTAGTATTAGGTAAGGAAGGGAGGTAAGCAGACAGGTTATGAAGCTACAACGATTGAGATGGCTAGAAGACATGCTACACATACTCAGCCTTCATCTCGTCGAGCAATGTTGGTTGACATGAGATAAGTTGGAAAAAAGTTAAGTCACACCAAAACCTGGAAACATTCCATCAAGTCTTTGGCTGTTTGTTTGAGCCAGCTACACAGGAAGGTGTAGACTGCCTGGTCAGGATTCTTGGGATGTTAAGAATCAGTAGCTTGAGATTATTTGTGATATGAGCCCCACATATTGTGTGCGAGGACTGGTGATACTAGCTGGACGCTCAGACCTAGGTAATTGGGGTGGATTTCAAATCGACGACCCATTCACTGGTTGGAAGTCGAGCACCTAAATCAATGAGTCATAGTTCTACACGATACATTAACTATATATCTGACTTTAGACATATTATCAGGATTTCATCATGAGCTGACATTAGTTAGAGAACCATTGGAAAACCTGCGACTACTACTGGACAGCTGTTTCGTCGGCTGAGTTTGGGACCCTTCAGCAGTACGCACCCACCCCACTTGGGTTCTAACCCAGAACCTTCTGGTTACAAGGCGAGCTAGCTCGTAGACCATTAAACCACTGGGACCCGATCCAATGGCCAGTCCATGAATTCTAACTTCTGCCAATTCACAACATAGCGCGACCGCCAGCTGATGTCTTCGACAAGTATTTTTCCTCACACCTGACCTGCTGCACCATACTGGTCACGACTTCTCACTAGAACCCAAGGTAACTACCTACTTGAATAGGGCTAGTCACTAGTGAGCACCTCATTGATATTCAAGTGTTAGGTTGTAGGGATTTGATTGGTTACAGGATTTCATCATGGATCGGGTCCCAGTGGCTTAATGGTATACGAGCTCTCCTTGTAACCAGAAGGTCCTGGGTTCGAACCCCCCGCAATGTGGGTGCGTACTGACGAAGAGTCCCAAACTATGACGAAACAGCTGTCCAGCAGTACTCCCAGGTTTTCCAATGGTACTCTAACTAATGTCAGCTTATGATGAAATCCTGTAACCGATCAAATCCCTACAACCCAACACTTGAATTCGATTATCAGTCGGTGAATCCAGGGTTCGAGTTCCGCTGCAACTGAGTAGCATGATCAGCCCATACACAATTAATTTTGGGGCTCATAGCCTGGTATATGAGGAATTTGTTCTGGATAAATGCGTCCCAACAACAACAGATATTCTACAACGCTATTTATTGATTTGTTTGAATTCACCCACTCGGTACTGATTTTCCAAGTACCAGTCTGTTAACCACGATTATTTATTTGAGGGCTATCTATCCAGTTAGTTGCCTAGGCTGAACTAATAATAATAATAATCTACTTTATTCCAAAAACAATACTTCTAACAAAGAATGGAATTCTCAGCACTTGTCACAATATTGCATCTGATTCACTCAAAATATAAATAAAATTAAAAATTAAAACAAAAGTAACCAGAGGAATTTGTCCACGTTTACGATATAAAGTCAAAAATATTCGAAGTACGAATTGAGAGTACTAAATATAATAATAATAATAACAGTGAGTTTGTTTCAAACAGTATTGTCGATTCAGTTTGGAAATTTTAGCATGTTACTACAGAGTATTGAATCTAATGTTCTCTTGATATAACAGCATGGTGAGGGGAAATACAAAATTAACAGTTCTAACACAGCTTAAATGATGTTCACACTTATGAAAACATAAAAATAAAAACAAAAAATTGAGAGGATTATAAATATGGGAAGTACAATAACAATAAAGATTGATGTTATAAAGGTGGAGAAAATGGTTTATTTAGTAGTGCAAAGAAGGTTAGTTAGTTAGTTCATGCCTAACACTATTTTCATCACATAATGTAAGTGCCGCGAAATATGGTAAAGTGGAATTTTTATACTTAAACGTAGTACGTGCATGAATTCTTCTGAAAAGACTTCTTGTTTTACCTGAGGAGACACAAGGTTAGAGCTGTGGGTGCTGTGTTGGATGCTCACAGTCTGATATAATTCTTTTAGCAAATTTGTTGCATGACATCAAGTGTCTGTAAGTGACAATGTCAATGATATGGCCCAATGGGATGCCACCACTCGCCCTACTGACCGACAGTCTTCAGACTTCTACGAAGTAAGTGTGACATAGTCTTTTTTAAGCAATCTAGGAAAGAATAAGCAAGATTGAACAGTAAAGAAGAATAGGTAAGATGCACGAGTTGACAAACTGTGACAGGAGGAGGGGTTGGTTGGGTTATGCCTAAGTGCCTCAACTTCTTAGTGTAAAAAGTTAGACGAAATGTTCTTTTAGAAATCGCTAAGATATGGGAAGACCAGGCAGGATAGGCATAGAAGAAAGAATTAACCCACCATACTTAACTCCAGACTTGGTTTCTATATCCTCGCTATCATCAATTTTGCAAGGGTCATGGGAATGATGAACAGCTTCGTCATTTAACTTTCATTTACATCGGAAACTGAAATTAACAGACTGACATTTGAAAGGATTTAGTTTAAGGGAAGTGGGACTCGAAATCTGGACTTAATAGCTGTAAGTGAAGTACTCAAGCCAGTTAGCCGTATCTCTACTCAAACAACTAAATATCATGCAAAAAAACTGTTAAAACAGTACGCAATAATACAACAACTAGGCAAATAATAAAAACTTTTTTAAAAAGTGGAAGAAAATCATTTTTTTAAAAAGCAATAATTTACTTTTAGCGCAGAATTATATCACCAAAACTTACAATACAGTTAGCAGGTGGTCTAGGCATAACTAATTGATTTGAAACATCATTACTAAACTCATATTTTGGCATAGATGAAGGCTGAAAGATAATAAATGAAACAGCATGTAAGCGATTGCCGCAACATGAACAAATGACTGATTTTACTTTATTTTAATTGAATTTAAGATTTTCCCGTCGATTGATTGGACCAAAGTGCTCCTCAGTCTCAGGTTGACTTGTCGGCTTTTTGTCCAGATGCTTCGATGACGATTTCTGGGCATGTAATTAGAAGTTAACAGGTGGATGGTGACTACTAGCAGTGGAATCCAGGAAAACGCGCATTTCGTCCTATTTGGGACTCGTCAACCGGCTGCATGTACCTGGATTCCCCAGTATGTGATTATGCTCTTACTGAGGCTTGAGCCCAGTGCCCGACATGTCAACCTGAGACCGAGCACTTTGGTCCAATCAGTCGACGAGAAAATCTAAAATTCAATTAAATAATTAATATGACCCGTTGCACAAGAGGTGGCTCTTATGGCCCAAGTGGTCCAGTGGATAACGCTTTGGTGTTTGAAACTATGGGCACTGGGTCCAAGCCTCAGTGGGAACATCATCACTCACTGCTGAATGCAGGTACATCCAGCTGGTTGACGAGTCCCAAATAGGACGAAACGCGCGTTATCCTGGATTCCACTGCTAGTCACCATCCACCAGTTAAATTCTGATTTTACTTTATTTTATTAAAACACAAATTTGGTACTTTGTGGGTACAACCAAGAGATACGGCACATAAAATCTTATAGTTTGTGCGAGGGCCTAAGATACTGTCCAAATGACCAGACTGAAACAGGTTATTGTCTTAAGTAGTCTCCTCCAACCACCTACCCACCAACCCCCAGAACCTTTGACCTGAAGTCTGATCCATAAAATAGTGGGGAGGCGTCAGGAGCTGTTTTTTAATAGTTGACAGTGGCAAAAACTGGTTCATACGCCGTTAGATCCTTCTGAATTCTAGAGAACATGTACACACGCCATGGGCTTGAAATCAGGATTTTCCAGCTCCCCTAGGTAGATCACAGCATGTCTACCAGTTCGGTTGTAAGTGTCAGAAGTTTGCACTCGCCTTATCACATTTGCGAAGAACATCTCTATCAAGTAAAGGAATTAAATAAGACTTATCTGGCAGAGGCTGTGAACCCATGGACACATGACATCGTTTCGAGGGGAAGACTCAAGTCTATGTGTCCTAGGCCGTACCAGGTCTTTGATGGGGGAACACAGCGTTAACAGTATATCAAAGTCTCTCTCAATTGTCTGAACGGAATCAAATAATTAAAGTATATTTTCTAAAATATGTCATTTAACAATATCTACTGAAGGGAATCCTTACAATCGGTATTCAGTACTCCTCTATCAAATGTGTCTTTTTCTAAAAACTACTACTTTTATCAAGACATCCATTTTATCAGTTATGTGACTTAAGAATTCCATGTACTCACAGTAACAATACACTAAAACATAAGACTAAAAATGAGACAAAAAGAGGTAATGAGGATATTAATAAATGTCTTGGCTTAGTTAACTATATATTTCAAGCTAGAGGCTTGAAGTTTCTGTAGCAGTGGTGATTATTTTTTTACAGGATGCGGTTGCTAGCCTCATGCCCAACATTCCCTCTTAACCAGTCTTATTACTGGCTTACCGAGGTAAAGGAGTGTGTCGGTGGCCGGGGATCGAATCCCGGACCACCTGCATGGTCGGCAAGCACTCTACCGCTGTGTCACCGATGCACAGCTTCCTTTTTTGCTTGCAGAAGTCACCAAAGAAACATCAGCTAGACATCCATGGATAACCACTACTCATTATCTGTATACACGAATGACTAAATAAAAACCAGACTTGTAAATAAAACTTAGAAGGACAGTAAAATATTTAAGAAACAATACCTTAGGCAAACATGCAGCCGACTTTGTATTTAGCTTGCTGATTGAAGTCTCTAGGGAAAAGAAAATATACTTAGTAAAAAGAAATATGTACACATAAATTACCTCTGGCATTCACCTTTTCAGTATTTTCCACTGGTTTCAAAGCAGACTTATTCAGTAAGTGATGTTTTTCTGCAAGTGAGATAAGTTCTGCTTCATAAGAGCCTATATGAACAATTGAACCAACATCTATATCATTTAAAAAGGCTAATTTATGACTGGAAGTTGATGCCACTCTACAAAACAAAACAAAAGATTTATAAATTCACTTCAACTTTCAAAAAAGCAAAAGACATACACTTTCATATCTTCATTCATCAGTTTTATCATACGACCGTCAATTTCAACGAAACCTAAATAATCCAACAAATATATGCATATGAATAAGGATAAGATTAGTAATTCCTACCATCACCTTCCCATTTTTTATGCTAGAATATTTAAAAAAGAAGTGAATGATGAATTATACTCATTTTTTACCTTTTTACTTGATGATTTAGCATAAACAGCTTCAAAATATCTATAACTCTTTGGATCATGTGAAACAACATCAAATTGTTTAGAAGTATTAGAGACGTTAAGTGAAGCTGGTTTGTTTTCATACGTTTTTCTTAATTGTAGATCTTGAGATGATGAAACTGACGATTGACTTAAGCGACTAGGTGCTGCAGATCTTCTCATTTTATTTTGTCTAAGTAAAGAGTAATTAAATAAATAAAAAGTCTAAGTTATTCAGTTACGAAGACCTCGTTTTAGATCAAATACATTGCATAGAGCAACAGTTACTACATTTTTGGAAACGGAATATTTGACATTTCACCCAAAAGTTTCTCACCAAATTGTAGACTCTGAATTAATGTGAAGATCAATTTACGCATATGGCGTCCCATAACCAAAGAATGAAAGTGAAGCTAATCTATCTAGGTTTGATCGACCACATGATAGAAATCCCTTCTTATCGATTACATCAACTATTAAGCTAACACCACGTTCAGAATTTATTAAGTGCTTATTCAACGTGGACTACTCATACTACCAGATGCAAGCCGTTTAGTGATCTAAAAACTAGCATGAAACTAATAGATGTTAATGGTGTGAACCAGTTAAAAACAAATTGATCATTCTGTATGATTAGAACTTTCAGTTTATTGTCATTTTCATAAAACCTTCAATTCACACCTTTAATACTTTCTTATTCCTGTACACCCCCAGTGAAACATAAGGCACCTTCAAGCTAGAGGCTTGAAGTTTCGGTAGCTGTGGTATTTATTTTTACGGCATGAGGTTGCTAGCCTCTTGCCCAACCTACCCTTTTTGCCAGTCTTATTACTGGCTCACCAAGGTAAAGGAGTGCATCACCCGGGGGTTGAACCCCGACGTAGTCGGCGAGCATTCACAGCTGTGCCACCGACTACAGCTTCTTCTTGTCTTGCGTTATTAAAAAAAGGCAATAAAGAACTAATAAATCCAAACCTCAGTGGAAAGTTATGTCATAAAGAAAGTCCCGAGAAGGATGGGACGTCGAGGAGAGCGAGAATTAATTCTCGAAATCCTTTCTTCCTTTTTTATTTTATTTGCATTGATCCCGAAAAACTTAAAAAAGCAGCAATAGAAAGCTACCCAGCTGAAATTCACTTCGAGTGCACTGCAGAAAGTGTCTAACTACGGTGTATTATAGGCTTGACTAGCTAATAAACCACAAATCTTTAAAACTATGGTGAATGAACTTTATATCTGAGGCAAAGTTAACCTATGAAGTCCCAAGGGATGCGAACGCACGAGTGACCCTGAACTAGTCAACCATTAAAATAAGTGATCTTTGCCCAAAAAATACCTGTAGTTACAAAAGGCATGAAAATACACCAAACAGGTTATCTTTCTCTGACATGGCTTTAAATACGTCCCAGGTATAATGAGGAGTTTCAGTTTCTAAGTTGAACCAATTTCTGTACAAGAATTCATCGAGGTGACCTAAGGTGAGCTTTCTTAGTAATCTGTTTATCGCTCTTATCCTGCCTTGCGGTCTTCCCTAGAAGCTTTCGGAAGAATTACTACAGTTTCCGGTAAGAGAATCAACGACTACTTAGTAGGAAAATGTGGATAATAAAACAAATTTTAAAAAATAATACCAACTCCCAACCTATCCCTAATTGTAACCCCTAAGACCTACCTTTAACTAAAATCCTAGCCTTAACAAGCTATTAAAACTGTCTAAACAGCACTTTAAAAAATAAGTGGGTGAAATGCACTCTTTAGTGGGTGAATAGCGTTCATATTTGCGCTATAGTAATGACAGGAGTTGTTAGTCAACAACTAGCATGTGTTCAAGGCCATTTGAGCGTTCACACCCTTGTGACACTATAGTTTAACTTCGTCTCATCTCCTTCACCAGCACCTTTTTTTGGAAATTTAGTGTGATACAAAAAAAATTCCTTTACAGGCCCAGTCAAAGACCATACGTGAGATATGTCGTATATTCCAAAGTTGCGAACCGCCCAGTTTTAATATTCGCTCAATTTCATGATGAATTCAATTACCAAATTTAGCGTCCAATGAAGTTTTCCACACTTGACTTACATCCTCTACACTCAATGCTTTCTACGATAAACCATGGAAGCCTGTAAAAAATGTTGACAATCAACTCAAATAAAGGAGAATCAAGACATCTGAGTTTGATTGCAAAGAAAATTTAAATATTTCGACTGTTTAGTAGGACGATTCAGCGTTCCCCTCGTACTTGATTCTTACTCTAATCATAGACCTAACTCATAATCGCAGCCTAAACTTCAAACCTAACTAGTGAACTTAGCCCAGCCCTAACTCAAAGACTTAGTGTAACCCACAACTTACACTGATGACTGATGATATGTCCGTTTACTGGAAGTCACTTAGTGGTCGCTACATTTTGCCTGAACTCCTTGTCATAAGGAATAGGTTATCTCTCTTCGAAAGATTTCGTCTCCTGAAAGCCGTTGTCATTTTGTATTCACTTCTAAGTTGGGAGTAGCCACTGTATTTTATGTCCATTTATGACTTATTCTGTTTCTGGGATTCCTCTTAGACATTACCACTAAAAGGTGCCCAAATCGCAGTCTCAAAAAGTATGGGGGAGCCCCACACAGGGTGCCAACGCCTAGAACTTCTTATCCGATCCAGAGATGGTGGCTCTATCGTTGGACGCTGTCAGAGGGAAATTCGATCTTCACAATAATGTGTACTGTAGCGACTAACATAGTGTGCAAGAGCCTATTATCCTTCTTTATCTAAACATGAATCTGGTCCATATCCGAATTCAGATTTTTGGAATCAATCTTAGAAAAGAAAAGCCCAAGCCTATTATAATCTCTTTGATATTTATATGTGCTGAAAAAGCCGGGGCGTAGTTAATCAGTCATTTTCACTGATGCGAAATTTATACTTTCGCATATTCATGTAGTTACCGGAGTTATTATTTTATTATTTGGCAGCAGAAATGTAGTTCCAAGCTTATGATTAAGATATCTACTGAACTGAATGTGGGTTGTATTTTCGGACTGACAGGTCTTTAGATTGATTTAGATTTAGATACATTTACATATCAGATTTTAACCTAGCCTGGATCACTAGCTCGCTAGTTTTCTGGCCGGTCCCAAGTCCGGATAAAGTGGGAGGGTTGGGGCGTGGTGCTAGCAACTCCAACCCGTAAAACAACCAAATCGCTACAGAAACTTCAACGAATAAATATATTAAAAATTCTAAAAACATAAACAATAATCTTATTTTCGCTGGAATCGGGGAAGTGAAATGACGCAGGCTGGTGAAAGTCTTCGGGAAGCCAGTCAGAGGATGGGTCCTCTTTCGATGAAAGCGAAAATAAGGCTGAGAATGTGGAATGTTCGTGCAATGTACGAAATTGGAAAGGCTGCCCAGATAGCCAAAGAAATGAGAAGATATAGAATGGAAGTACTGGGAATCTACGACATCAGATGGAACGGATGTGGATGTTGCCAACTATCAACTGGAGAGACAATAATATATTTCAGTCACTCTGAGGACAACCACGAGCGCGCCGGGAAAGTGGCCATCATGATGTCATCAACAGCAGCTAAAGCTCTCATGCATTGGGAACCAATCTCCTCCAGGATAATGACAGTCAGGTTCAACTCAAAAGGAGGGAAGGCTGCAATCATTGAATGCTATGCGCCTACAAACGTCTCAGAACAAAAGAAGAAGGAGGCTTTCTGCAGACAACTACAAACAGTAATGGACAACGTCCGGAATAGCGATATTAAAATCCTGATGGGTGACATGAATGCGAAGCTGGGAGGAGACAACACAGGAAGAGAACTCACCATGGGTCGAGAGGCCCTCGGTGAAATGAACGACAATGGTGAACTCTTCTCAGACTTCTGCGCCTTCAATGATTTGGTGATTGGTGGTAGTCTGTTCAAACACAAAGATATACACAAGACGACATGGATTTCACCAGATGGACACGTCAAAAACCAGATAGACTTCATTTCATTATCAAGGAAGTGGAGACGGAGCCTACTGGACACAATGTCGAGGAGTGGAGCGGATGTGGGTTCAGACCACTATCTAGTATCTAGTACAAGGGACTTTCATGGTGAAGCTAAAGGCCTCGAGGATAGCTGGGGATAGGCCATAATGTAAGTTCAACACTCAATTACTGAAGGACACAACCACAAAGGACACTTTCACTGCAACTGTCAGAGCAAAGCAGGAAACACTACGCGACATCACTGAAGAATCAGGAGTGGAAGAACATTGGAAGTCTCTGAAGGCGATTCTCAACGAAACGTGTTCAACGGTTCTAGGAAGGAAGAAGAGACAAGACAAGGAATGGCTCCCAACGGACACTTGGAAATTATTAGAAGAGAAGAGAATGGTGAAAGAGAAAATGATTCAATGCAAGGACGGACAGGAGAAGGAGAGGATGAGCTCAACTTACACAGCACTGGACAAAGAAGTGAAGAAGAGTGCTAGGAAGGAAAAAAGACGATTCTACAACAACATGACCACTGAAGCTAAGAAGGCAGCCGGCAAAAGGGACCTGAGGACACTATATCAGATAACCATATCTCTATCCGGGAAGAGACCAACACAAGCGAAACCTATAAAAGACTGCCAAGGAAACCCAATTACCAAGGAAGAGAAACAGATAAAACAATGGGCGGATAAAATCAAAGAACTCCTGTCAATGCATTTGAAGATTGAACGATCAATTCTTGGTTGTTTGCTCAAAATCAACTTCTCCAATTTTCGTGGAGGCATCAATACGGCAGTCATCGTCTCATCGGTCGCTGTTCAGAAAGAAGTCAGCAGTAAACCATCAGAAGTAATCTTGTGATTTATTATTGTAATATTTGTTCACAGACCTAATAGAAATATTTTTTATATGTTGGTGTTACAATAAAGAATTCCCAAGCGGCCAATCGGTGTTTTGGTTTTTCGTCCGTTAATACTAAGCGTTTCTGAAAAACTGCAAGGAACAGCGTGGGCCCGAACGTATCAAGAGCTGGGCATTGACGGTTTATGAGACGTGACTGACAGTTTCTGATGGTAGAAACAGATTCTGGCCGACTCAGATAGCTGGTAACAGTTTGGATAGCCACCGTTCATTTTACCTGGTGCCGGTCAAGTCCTCTTTAAACAAGCAATATCTGGAACATTTTTGGAATTGGGCCAAGTTCAACAATACCTGGGTCAAAGTAGGGACAGAGCGTCTTGGATGCAAACAGGAAAGTAAGTCATGGTGACTTGTCTGTTAATTGTAACGATGTGTCTGATGTTAAGCATGACATGGTTGATGTTACTGTTTCGCCGTTCAGGGATAATAGGAACATCAAACTCCCTAAATTTGAACCACGATGTTTTG